AAAAAATGTATAATCAATAGTCATTGGGTCACACAATCCACATCCCTCAAATGCTTTTTTTTAATTTAAACATTTGTAATTAAAATGTATTTCAGGGTTGTTACGGTCTGGAACGCACAGCCCGAAAGGTTTGGTGGAAGCAGTTTCGACAGGAGCTTTCAAAGGGGTATTTGGGTAGGTACGTAAAAAGGAAAAGAAATGTGTAGAGCTATGGGGTGAGAGCGGAGGAGTGGGACTAGTTGGGGTAAGAGTGGCCGGGGTAGTAGGATTAGTTGGGCAGATCTTTCAAAGAGCCAGCACAGGTACGATGGGCCGAATGGCCTCCTCCTGTGCTGCAAGATTCTATCTGGCCTTCGCTCCCTCTCTCCGCCACCCTGCACTCGCCAAAAAAAAAAAGCTCACGATTCTGAGGAAAGTTTGGAGCCTTTTCAAACACAACACAACACGACACCTGCACCGCAGCCTGGGACCGCGCTCGGGGCTGCATTGTTGCTGCGACGGCCGCTGTGATCAGAGAAAGCCACTCGAATCTCCGTCAGACGGCTGGCTGCGTGCCTGAGATCTTCCCCACGTCTGGATGCTCTATGGTGTGTGTCAGCCCCGACTCAGTCGGTAGCACTCTTGCCTCTGAGTCAAGAGAGAGAGAGAAGGTTGTGGGTTCAACTCCCACCCCCCTCCCCCCCCCACCCCACATCGAGGACTTTGCACTCGTGCAATCTCGGCTGACGCTCCAACGTAAGGCTGTTGGGTGGGGTGGGAAGGGGTGAGTTGTTGTTGCGTGTGCGTGTCTGTGTCCTGTTCAGGTGGACGTTAAAGATCTCGCGGGGCTGTTGGAAAAGAGAAGGGAGTTTCTCTCTCTCTCACTCTTTCTCTCCCCCGGTGTTCTGGCCAACAATCCCCCAAAGAAAATCGCTCGCTCACTCCGCGCCTGTTCGTGGGGACGCTGCCGTGCGCTATTAGCTGCCGCGTTTCGCCCACAAAATACACAATCAATCCACTTTACATTATATTCAGTGAAGCGTTTTGAGATGTCCTTCCGACGTGATAAGGCGCTATGTCAAATGTGAGGATTATTTATTATCATGGTCTTCCTTTATTCCCACTCATCAACATTAATAATAATAATATTAATAATAATGACAATAATCCTCACATTTGATACAGAGCATTATCACGTGTTCGAGACGTCTCGAAGCCCTTCACAGGATCTACTGTAAAGTGTAGTGACTGTGTATTTTTGTGGGCAGAAACATGATCTCCTGCCTGTCCAGGTGGATGCTACAGATATTGCAATACAATGAAAGGCTCCATTCCTGTTTTGTATCCGGTGGCCCTATTGCACGCACCATAGGGTTGACTTTGGCAGCTAATTACGGGCAGTAACAAATTCCACCCTGTTTAATTGAGCCCATAATTAATGGACAATAAAAGTGGAACACTCCCAGATTGCAAACGCCTCTGGTGGAAAAAACACACAGCTTTGACCCACTGATTAAAGCTCTCCTCTCACTCACTCTCTCTCTCTCTCTCCCTCCCTCCCTCTGAGTCAGGACAGCAATCGCTTTGGATAAAGTCATGAACGGCTTTCAATCACCAAAGGGAATGAGTAATGGCACAACTCAAGGCATTTGCCCTGACATGGGCAGTACCATCCAGAGGTCAGAGGGTGGTAGTTCAAATCACACCTCATTGATATAAAGCGAATAATTTGAACCTCAAAAGCAATTCTTAACCCTTCCGGCCTCCCCCCTGCCCTCCCTGTCTGCCACCCACATTGGTGTGGAATCCTGCAGTCTGGTGGTTAGAGCTCTCGCCTCGAAAGTGAGAGGACCCAGGTATGATTCCAAGGCGGGACGAAATATTAAACAAGTTTCCTTACTCCACACACACACACACACACACGTCTCAGGGGGTCAGTGTGATATTCCCCGCTCCATTGTAACTGGGTGTAATCTGGCCAAGCGTGTGACTGGGACTGCTTTGAGGCCATGGAGAACCTCCTCAAGAGAAACACAGACCCCTGGTGCCAAGGAATGTTATTCTTGGACAAAGACTTTGTTAATTGTAGTTAAAAATAACCATCCCAGAAAAAACACAGGCTCGTTACACTTCGCAGTCACTCACTAAAAAAAATTGCTGGCCGTTACTAACCTTCTCCCCACACAACACACAGAGGCAGACAGGTCTCACCTACTGTAAGTGGACATCTCACCTGTTCAGGCGATGTCCTTCAGGTAGGCTGTTGAAATGAGGCTCCCTCTGTGCCTGTTAAAATAAACATGAAGTATTCCTGTTTCTCCTGAGTCTGGCTCAGAATCCACCCCTCCCACCAGATAAAACTGCTCTTTCTCCACAGGGCTGTGCGACCCCAATGTGGCACCATTTCACAACTTTAGCCATTTGCATCCGTCAATCCCTACTCAGTTACACTGGTGAGAAAGGCAATTCATTCCTGGTCAACAGAAGCCAACCGTGCTCCCAACCCAACTGATCCAAACCAACCCCCACCCAACCCGGTCTACCCCCATCTAACCCATTCACACACCCAACCAAACCCCCCGCCATCCAAGCATCCCGTATCTAACCTATCCAATCCACTCACCCCCTACCCCCATCTAAACCAAACACAATCAATCTAACCCCCCACCCACACATACACAACCCAACCCCCCTCTGCCGCTTCCCCCCCCCCCCCCCCCCCAGCTCTGACAGGAACCCTGACCCAGTTCAGCAATGCAAAACCACCAACGCAAATCAGGTTTCGATGTAAATTCTCTTTAATGTGATGCGAGTGTTTGAACCGTTTCGGGCCCAACAAGAATTTCATTTCCAGCCGTGAATAAATTAAGAAATTTACGAACGTACCCCCACCCCACCCCCCCCCCCCCCCACACGAAAACGGGAACAATAAAAACACACACACACAAAAAAATCACAGATTCCGACAGCCAAACATTCGTTTTTTGATACAAATTACTTGTCGTCGACTCCACGGACACGAGTGCAAAGGAACCGAGGACGGAAACCGCTTTCCGTGACCTCAGGAGTCCCGTGAACTTGATTCTCGAGCAGAACGGGAGATGTGGGGCCGGAGACAAAGCGATGGGAGAGGGAGAGCAAAACACTGGCAATCAGCACTTCATCACGGCACAGAATTAAGCATTTTTTCCTCTCCTTTTCGTGTTAGAATTTGGTCGATCCAACGTAGCCCTTCAATGACACCCACACGACCCCCCGCCCGCCCGACCCACTCTGTATAAAGTGCAGGCAAACCAGTTCTCAACGTCATAATAATAATAATAATAATAATAACAACAACAATCCTTCCATGTGATTCAGCACCTTATCAGGTCTTCCCGACGTCTCAAAAGCGCTTCACAGGATATACAGCACAGTGTAGTGACTGTGTATTTCTGTGGGCGAAACGCAGCAGTCAACTGCGCACAGCAGCGTCCCACAAACAGTCGTGGATTGCGTAATTGAATTCAACTCCCGTCCCCCTCCCAATTGAAAAGTAAATTGATTCTCCCCCCCACCAACTCTCTCTCTGATCGGTCGACCGAACCAATTCAGCAGAGTATGAATTTGCGGGACATATCTACAGAATCCTTAACACACGCCAATCAGCCCTCACGCTGTCTCTCGCACACGCACAAATACACACACACACACGCACACACAAGCGCGAGCGTGCACGCACACACGCACTCAAACGCACGCACACACGCACACACTCTAATATTAAACTCCTTCGTCTCTCTTTATTTACAGTTCCCCAAATCTCCGCTCCGAACACGACCAATAAATAAGAGGCGACTGTTTGGATGGGTTACAGTTTGACACATAAATAATCCAAAAGCGGTATTCCCCCCCCCCACCCACCCCCACCATGACACTCTGCTGCCTGGTTACTTTCACCGTCTCTCACCCCCACCTACCCCCCCCCACATTCCCTCTCCTCTCTCCCCCGCTACCCTGTTCAGCTCCGGCTTCCTTCTCGAACACTAGTCTCTCGTTTCCAGTCTCAAGTCCCATCTTTTTTCTCTCCCCCCCCCACCCCCAGCCCCGCTCTCCCTCCATCGGCCTCTATTTTCTCCCTTATTCTCCCGAACTCGCTACGGTGCCTTTTCTCTCACCTTTCTGCCCCCTTTTCCGCCCCTCCTCAATAAAAAATCCTTCTCTCCACTAAACACAGGGACCCGACGTTCCCAAGACAGCCTTAGCCGGTCTCCACACCCCTCTCCCCCCACCACCACCCACCGCTCTCCCTCTCTCTCCCTGGAGGGACGCATTCCTGCTTACAAGTTGCAGGTACCGGACGGGGGGGGGGGGAAGGGGCAAGGGACCCCAAATTGTGCATTGATGGTGCTGATGATCGTGGGGTTTGGTGGGGGGGGGGAGAGAGAGGAAGGGGTTAACTGCCGCTGTGAATTTAACTAACTACGAAAACAAGTGCCCGGCTTGTCGTAACAGGTTAAAAAAAAAACATTTCAGCAGAAAATCCTCCCCCCCCCCCCCCCCCCCATCGCCACCACCCTAAACCAAAACCACATTCCACCCTCCTTCCTCGAAATACGCCTCCGTTGCTCACGCCTCACTTCCTCTAACCTTTCTCTCACATTCCTTATCCTTCGCTGCTCTTCCTTATCGTTGTTGTATCGTGCGATTTTTTTATTTTAAACCCCTTTCCTCCCCCCCCCCACCCCCCCCACCCCCAACCACACCTTCAAATCCGCCCCTCCCCGACCAAAACACAAACAGAACAACAAACGATCTGGGCTCGGGTGCTTATTTGACCCCAAATTATTATTAATTTTTTCTCTCTCTCTCTGACCTCCCAAGGCTCCGCGATTCGTTTGCTTGAACACCAAATGTTGATTGATTAATTGATTGATTGATTGATCGATCGAGTCGATAAATAACAACAACAACAACAACAATCCTTGCGTTCGATACGGCGCCTTGTCACGTCTTCGAGACGCCTCAAAACGCTTCACAGGATACACTGTAAAGTGTAGTGACTGTCTGTTTTCGGGCCGCGCACTCGGTCGACCCTCACCCCAGCTTGTGGCAGATCTGCACGGCTTTCTTGTAGACGTCAGTCACGTTGTCCAGGTCCATGAGAGACCCCGGACTGTCGGCCCCGAGCTCCTCGAAGCACTTGATCTTACAGAGACGGGACCTGAACTCCAACTGGGACTTGCCCAGTCCCAGGAGATCATCAGCTGAGACGCAGCCCCTCATCCTGCCCGGCTCCCTCTCCCTCTCCCTCGGGGAGTCGGGGAGATCCAACCGGTCGAAGGACTCGGAGGAGAGGATACTGTCCTCGCTGATCGCGCTGGTGGGCCGCCCGGGCGGAGCCGAGGGTCCGGCCAAGAACACCAGGTCGTCGAACGAGCCGAAGGAGCGGAGGGAGGGGCTGCCCAAGGCCGAGTCCGTGCTGCTCCGCGAAGAGTACTTGCTGTGGTGTTTCAGGATGCCCTTGCGGGCGGGGAAGCCGGGAACGAAGGCGGCGGGGGCTGAGCCGACCGGGTGGGGGGACCGGGCTCCATCTCCGCCCCCATCCCTTCCCCGTCCAGGGGTTCCGAGCAGTCGCTGGGCTCGGGGGAGGAATAGTAGCCAGACTCCCTCTGCGGGGGCTTCTTGAGGATCCCCTTCCTGGGGGCGGTTGGCAGAGACTCCCCGAATGCCGCTCGGGACTGGGGGAGGAACACAGAGTCGTCGGGGGAGTCCGGGGCCTGGTGGGGGGCCGGGTGAGGGGTTCCGTGGCCCCTGTGGTGCTCCCCATTGCTTCTCTTCTTCAGGATGCCCTTGGGACGCTTCAGGATGGACTTGGTCGGGCTGTCGGGCGACGTTCCTCCCTCCTGCAGGGACTGGGAGATGTCGTTCTCCTTTTTGGACTTCTTGAGGGATCTCTGGCGTTCCAGGCCCGAGCCCCCCGGCTTGAACAAACCGCGCAGGCGGGAGCCGCTCTCGAGGAGCGAGCGGGCCGAGCGGTGAAGCCAGGCCGAGCCGTGGAGCAAAGGGGACCCGCACTCACCGACCCCCAGGCCGACCCCAGGACCCTCCACCTCGCCCACGGGGGTCTTGTAGCCCCAGTTCACCCACCAGTGGGAGGACACGTCCTCTATGCTCGCTCTCCGCTCAGGGTTCACCATCAGCAGCCACCGGATCAGCCCACATGCGTCTGGAACACACCCACACGGCACCGTCAGTCAGTCAACTGTCCCCAAAACCCTCACCGACCGCCCATGTTTCGCAGACGAACGCGAGACGTGTGTCGTCAATGATCGATTTGTTTTTAAAGCGGGGAAAGCACGTACACACACACGTACACACACACGTACACACACATACTGCACAGTCGCTCGCACACACACGTACACTCAGACACATGCAGACGCACGCAAGCACACACCCGCTCCCACACACACTCATACGTGCACAGTCGGTCGCACACACACGTACACTCAGACGCATGCAGACGCACGCAAGCACACACACGCACACGCACACACACACACTCGCGCCCCCGCTGGCACTGCGGATGATGGACGGAGTGGGCTGGTTACGGGGCAGTGAGGCTGACCTGATGGCGAGATGGGGGGACGGTAATCTCCGCTGCTGATCTGCCGGACCAGGAGCCGGTAGTCGTGCCCGTCGAAGGGCATTGTGCCATGGACCAGGGTGTAGAGCAGCACCCCCAGCGCCCAGCTGTCAACCTGCCAACAACGACAACAACACAGAGGTCACTTCCACTGACTGGACACAGCAATGGAGCCTCCCCCTCCTCCCACCTGCACCCCCCCCACCCCACCCGCCCGGCAACCCAGCGCCAGAGTCTCCCCCCACCACCCCCAACTCCCCCCCCACCGTCAACCCATCCTATCACAACTTTGTGGTTTATCCTGTGTACAGCGCCCCTCACACAGGTAGCGTCTCGGAGCTCTCTGCTGTGCGCAGGGTCTCTCTCGCTCTCTCACACTCACCTCCGGCCCCCGGTACGGGCGCCCGTTGACGATCTCTGGAGAGGCGTAGAGGGGGCTCCCACAGAAGGTCTGTAGGAAGCGGTCCCGGTGATAAAGGTTGGACAAGCCGAAGTCAGCGATCTAGGGGAGGGGGCAGAAAGAGCCGGGTCAGTGCATTGCTGGAGCGAGTGAGAGAGAAAGAGAGTGACAGAGAAAGAGAGAGAGTGACAGACAAAGAGAGAGACAGCTGATGGTCAGTCAATCTTTAACCCCACACAGAGCTCTGACCACTACTCACGATGATAACAACAGCAATAATAATCCTGGCATCTGACCCGGCGCCTTATCATGTCGTCGAGGCGTCTCAAAGCGCTTCACGGGATGACACACTGTAAAGCGGAGTCACTGTGTATTTTGTGGGCGCAACGCGGCAGCCGATTGCACACAGCAGCGACCCCACACACGGGCGCGGATTTCTTTTGTTTCTTTATTTTTGAAGGGATTATTATCCCCTGGAAAAGTCACCCGCCAATCGACTAACATCCGGGTTCCTGCTTACTGCTGAGTAAACAGAGGCGTGTGCGATGCGTTATATGTGTGTGTGGTGTATGACCCTTGCGAGGCGAGCGTCCAGGCTAACCAATACCCTCCAGCACATAAAAGTGTAGTGACTGTATGTTTCGTGGGCGAAACGTCACCGTGACTGAGCCTCTGCGGACACACAGTGGTCGTACGCGCTGAGAGCTACACATACACACACAGACACACGCAGATACACACGCGCACAGACAGACAGCTAAACAGCACAAACCATGCTCTGTTTACCCAGCAGTGGTATGTGCTGTACGTGGCTTTGGACTGAATCAGATTGATGGGGAATGACAGCTGCGATGTGTAATTGCATTTTTAATCAAGAGTTCGAGGCAAACACACAGCTCGGTCTCGGGCCGAGGCTCTCAGGCATCCAGGGAATCTGCCTCATTCACACAGGCACCTGCACACTTGACTACCTACCGGGCAAATAATAGAAATAACAATAATAATCGTTGCATTTAACGTCTCAAAGCGCTTCACAGGATACACTGTAAAGTGGATCGACGATCTATTTTGTGGGCCAAACGCGGCAGCCAATTGCGCACCGCGACGTCCCACAAACAGCCGTGGATTGAGTGACCAAATTATTATTTTTGTTATTATTGGTTATTTTGGTGGTTTGTTTGTTTATTGGATCGGATTATTACTTCTGGAAAAGCGACCCACCAATCAACTAACAAGTCGCGTAGTGTCGTGGTTAGAGCAGGAAAGACCCTTTCATCTCATCTCAGCCACTCCGTCGCAAGTGACTCGGCGACAAAACACAACCCGTGGCTGTGTCACTAACCCCCCACCGACTTCTCCTCAACCTTCCCTGCTCCGATAAGCAAGTCACGTTAACCATTAACTCGCCCTTAGCAGTCGGTTGTAACAAAGGTCGTTGGGACGCACTCCACCAAATTGCGTCTCTGCCAAATTCCTGGCAAGCTCACACGCTGATCAGCAGAAGCTAAATATATCCCCCCACTTGCCACTCGACTGGCAAAGATGGGGCAATGCCAGCTCCCCCCCCCACCCGCCGCCCCCCCCCCCCCCCCACCGACAGCAGTCACACACTTCAAATTCCTCTGTGCGCAACTGGGTGCCGCGTTTCACCCCACAAAACACACAGTGCCTCCACTTAACAGTGTAGCCTCTGAAGCGCTTCCAGACATCTCGACGGCCTGATCCGGCGCTGGGTCAAAGTCCAGGATTATCAAGGGAGAGAGAGAGAGAGAGCGAGAGCGAGGTGTCGGGGAGACCCACCTTGACGTTACCGTTCGAGTCCAGGAGGATATTCTCCAGTTTCAGGTCCCGGTGAACGATTCCGTTCTGTGACGAAACGGTAGACAGACAAGAGAGAGAGAGAGAGAGAGAGGGTGTCAGTCTACAGCGAGACTCAAATGCAAGACGTCTAAAGCCATTTGCAGACCGGTTCCCTTCCCCCGAAGCTTGGACTCCTTACACGCACTGACAGTATTCCGCTGTGCGCGATTGGCTGCCGCGTTTCGCCCGCGAAACACACAGTCACTACACTTCACAGCGTATCCTGTGAAGCGCTTTGAGACGCCTCGAAGACGTGATAAGGCGCTGCATCAAACGCCAGGATTATTATTATTAACCTCTTGGAAATCAATGAGAGAGATTGGCCAGTGTTCAGTGTGTGTCCCCGAGAGATGGTGTGGGTGGGGGGTGGGGGGTGGGGGGTGAGCCCCTGTGGGGGCAGGAAGCTTCCTGCTGTTTACCCGGAGGTCTGCTCCGCTCTGCTGTTTCCAGTAGTTTATCATTAGCAGAGTTATAGTTATTGGCTCAGCGATCACACTGGTCTTCAGGGGGGACAGAGCAACTGCATCTGTGTGCGTGTCTGTGTCTCTAAGGCGTGTGTCCTGTTGTGCCCGTGTGCGTTTGTTACCGTGTGCGCGTTTGCTCATACCTGTGTGTGTCCGTGTGTGTGTGTGTGTGTGTGTTCAAAATCTCACACAGACACACTTGCGTGCTTGCACGCACACACACACGCTCATACACAAACAGGCTCTCTCCCACGCGCACACACTCACACACACACACACACACACACACACACACAAATCAGGTGCGTCTCCAGCATGTAAATTCCCCGCTGGGGTGTGTGTGTGTGTAACAGAGACGTGGTTCCCACACAGTCACTCCCTTTCCTGTTGGTTTGGTTTAATTTGGTTTAATTTGGTTGGTTTCTCTGCTGATCCAATGATGTCCCGTTTCGCGTCGGACGTTAAAAGGGACCACTCCCTCCCTCCACCGAGGCTGGGGCGAGCGTGACACACTCGCACACACACTCGCACACACACACACACACACACAGTACCTTTTTCAAATCCCTCACTCCCTGGCACCTCCCCACCTACTTACAGCCCAACTCACCCACTAACCCACTGCCTCCGCTCGACCGGCTCCGGCCTCCTATTTGCGCCCCCACCCCACAGACCCCCCCCCCCAACACCCCCGTAACCCCCACTGCACCATCAGCAGCCGGGCTTCCAGCCACGACACGCCCCGAAACTCTGGAACATTCTCCCTCTGCCCTTCCCCCCCCGCCCCCCCTTTCCTCCTTTCCTTATCCATCTTCAGGTCGCGTCTGAAATGCTTACGGTCACCTCCGCCCCCCCCCCCCCCCCCCCACCCTCCCCCCGCTCGGTGCCGTACTCCCTGACTGTCAGGCGCTCTGGGACGCTGTTGTTGTTGTTATTTTGGTACCTTGTGGCAGTAGTGGACGGCGGAGACGATTTGACGGAAAACATGGCGAGCGGCCTCCTCGCTTAGACGGTGTTTCTCGTTGATGAAGTCGTACAGGTCGCCCTTGCTGGCGAACTCCATGACGATCACAATCTTATCCTTGTTCTCAAACACTGCGGACGCCAAAGAACGACACCAGGTCAAAGCCAGGGGAACGCAAGTCAGGTCCGGTCAACCCCTCGGACCTGCCACAGTCTACCCCACCCCCACCCTCACTGCCCTGCAGCGCTGACATTACCATAGCTCACTCCCCCGCCCGCCGCTGTGAGGGGCTGTGGGGTAGGGGGGGGGCGTAGGCTGTGCTCTGTGTGGGACCCTCACCTTCGTAGATGTTGATGATGTGCGGGTGGTTGAGCGAGGACATGATCTCAATCTCCCGCCGAATGTGGACCAGATCCTTTTCATCCTTGATCTTCTCTTTCCGGATGGATTTGATGGCGACCTGAACAGGAACAGAGAGATGAGATGGTCAGCCAGAGAGCGAGAGAGGGAGAGCGGGAGAGGGAGAGCGGGAGAGGGAGAGAGGACTGAGATAATAGCTGATCTCATCTGCCCCAGTGGTTAACTACCACTTATATTTATATGGCGCCTTAATGTGGGACAGAGTTAGGGTTGTGCTTTACTCACTAGTCGTGTGAGCGAGTGTGAGCAACAGGGTGTCTCTACACCCGCTCGAGGTCACAGTCAAATCTATGCAAACTCTCTTTTTTTTATATATAAATGGTGTCTTTATTGTCAGGACCAAAACTGCTCCGACGGAGGGAAAGAGGGTCAGAAATCCAACACAATTGAAACTGTTATCGGAAAAGAAGCAGGAAGGGAAACAATCCCTCACACACACAGACACAGACAGACACACACAGACACACGCACACACAGACACACAGACAGACACACACAGACAGACACACACAGACACACGCACAGACAGACACGCACAGACACACACAGACACACGCACAGACACACACACAGACACACAGACAGACACACACAGACACACACACAGACAGACACACGCACAGACACACACAGACAGACACACACACAGACACAGACAGACACGCTATTGATTGCAGTAACCCTGACAACCCAAGAAGCATTCGCAAACCCAATCACAGATCAGGAGCCCCTACGCCCAGCGAGTCAGCGCGACTGGTTTAGTTTTGAATTTGACACAGACGATGCCCTCTGGACCCTGACATACAACTCCCCAACTCCCCCCACCCCCACCCCCACACTCCCCCACCCACACAGCCACACGAGGCAAAAGGGGAGAAAACTGAAGGAGAGGGAAACAGAATCCTTTGGTGAGATGTGCCCCCAGTGCGCACACACACACACTCACACACACACTCACACACAGACACTCACACACACACACTCACACTCACATGGGGAAAAAATGTCATCAACAACAAAACCAGTGCAAAACAAGGCAACTATCACTGGCTGATACCCAACACAGGGGGTGGAAAGAAAACACACAATAACACGTCCGTATGTGTGCATATATATATATATATACACACAAAGATACACACAGCGATTGCTCTCCTCCGACCTGTTTGGTAACTCCCAAACACAAGGGCAGGGAGGGACACCCAGGGGCAAAGTGTGAACAGCAAGTGAGCAGAAACTGGTCCCCGTGACATCGCCGAGGCTGAAACCAACACATCCTGGGTCCCAGGCTGTAGCTTCTCCTCCATCCTAAAGTCCCGGGCTCCCACCTTAGGTAAACGGCCGCTGAACATGTCCATCCCAAAGGCTTGACACACCTCCCCTTCCCACCTCCGCTGCCTCCCCGTCCTTCAAGAGGATCGAGTTTAAAATCCTCACTTCTCAAGCCCTCCACGGCCTCTGCTCCTCCACCACTTCTCCGACCTGTTAACCCGCGCAACAATCTGTCCGCTCGGGGGGCACTGACCTGCTCCATGTCCCCCCCCCCCCGTCCGTCTGTCCCCTCACTCCTGCCCTGCCCACCTCACCATCCCCGGTCAGGCCTTCAGCCTCTCTCTGCCCCCACCCTCTGGAACCCCTTCCTCTTTGACAGTGTCTTTTCTCCCCCAACAATTCCCCGGAAACCACTGCCCTTTTCCCGAAGGCTCCCAAGCGCCAGGAAAGTCATCCGAGGTTACAGTGACATGCAGCGAGAGTGGTCACACCCAAGGCATATAAACTGGGCTTTAAAGGGATGCAATGGGATCAACGGTTACAGTATATATCAGGGCTATTAAGCCCTATGTTCCTTGGAGAGCACAGGAGGGTTGGGAAGGTCCTGGGGACTGAGGGAACCATTCACCTCTGGTGTAGAAGGTTTGTACATCCCATGGTCCCTCCGCCTCGCCCCTTCCCCTCGCCTCCTTCAAGGCCCATCTCAAGACCCTCCTTTTCGACCAACAGTCGGTCAACCTCCTACCCCCCTCTCCTGCCCTCCCCCCACCCTCCTGATCCCAACGCCCAACTCGGGGTCAAACCCCTGACTGCCCAGTGCCTTGGGATGCCCCCCCCTCCGCCCCCGACGCGAAAGGCTCCGTGTGAATGTCACTTGTCGCTGAGTTGCCTCTGAGGAGGTGGGGCCGACCTGACCGAGGTAACGTGATACCGAGCATTTTTATTGCGTGTCGTTGACACGACATTCACACGCTCAACGGTCAATGTCCCAGTGCTCGGCATCTGCCCCGATTTCACGGTTTTGCAATGCAACGTATCCCAAGGATCACAGTCCACCCAACCGGCCCAGGCTGACACTCCCGTGCAGCGTTCGGGGGGGGTTGGGGGGGGGGTTTGTGTGGGGGCTTTACCGCATTGCCGGGAGTTGCCGTTTGGGACATTAAACAGCTGCTGCCTGAGCCCCTGTTCAGCTCCGCATTAAAGCTCTTACTCCCGTATTGCCGTTAGAAAAGAGAAGGGAGTCTCTCTCTCTCGCTCTCTCCCCCACCCCGTGTCCTGGCCGACTATCGCCCCCCGCCCCCACAGTTACATATAAATATGACCGATTCACTTCACGGCTAAGTTGCGGGACTTTACTGTGGCGCAAACTGGCGGCTGCTTTCGCTCGCCCACAAACCACGCAGTCGCTACGCTCTACGGTAACTCCTGCGTGAAGTGCTTTGCGTGATGGAGACGCTATGGTTTAATAAGGGGTGATGGGGGGGGGGGGGGGATGGGGTAGAGGAGGGAGTCAAAGTACCAGAGAGACTGCGGACCTGAATATTTAGTGTTAATGCACTTTGAGACGCTCTCTCTCTCTCTCTCTCTCCCTCCCCCCCCCCTGTGCGTGTTTGTAATCTGTGAGTAACAGCACTTTATCCGCATCAGTGCGAGGAGCTGCTAACAGGGTTTGGAGAGGCAGTCACAGCCAACTGAATTCTCCTCTCCCTCCTCCCCCCGCCTCCTGCCCCCCATCGCTCATCTCGTCACGCTCCAAAAAACTTCTAACTATGTCAGACAGAGACACAGAGAGAGCCAGGCTGCACCTGCTGGAACTCTCTCTCTCTTTCTCTTCTCTCTTTCTCTCTCTCTCTCTCTCTCTCTCTCGCTCGCCAGACAGACAGACAGACAGACAGACAACAGACAGACAGACAAGACACCCCATGAATGAGAAACTCTCTTCACAGCCGCCAGCCGATTGTCACTGATCGGCAAAACCCTCCCCGCTCTAAAACCTGCCACAACTCACCCAGCAACACCCCCCCCCCCCCCCCCCCCAACCTCTCTCCCTCTCTTTGTCTTTCCTTTTCTCTCTCTTCCCTTCTCCCCCAAAAGATATCGAGGGCCACTCAATCCACCACTGCTTGTGGGGACGTCCGCTGTGCGCAATTGGCTGCCGCGTTTCGCCCACAAAGCGACCGCGGTCACTCCACTGCGCAGCGTATTCCGTGAAGCGCTTTGAGACGTTTCGAGGTCGTGATAAGTCGAGAGAGAGAGAGAGAGAATCAGAGAGAGAGAGAGAGAGATTGACGAAGAGAGGGAGAGTGAATGTATATGTTATTCCCCGGACAGAGATACAGAGATACAAATAATAATAATAATCATAATAATCCTTGAAAATCACTGAATATGGACATCTGTCTGTAAGGCCCAGATTTTTTTTTGGAGGGGGAGAGAAAAGAGGGGACTTTACGGACAGGGAGATAACAGGCAGGAGATTAACAAGTGGCTCCGTTTCAGTCTCTGGAAACTACTGTGAAATCCCCCGGGGTTGTGCAAATAATAAACAATAATAAATAACGATAAAATCTTAACAAACCGCCGACTGTCGCAGATCGGGGAAGACAGACAGGTTTCCTGATTCAAGTCACAACTGTATATTTAACACTCAAAATGAAAATAAAGGCATTCATGACACAAATGGTCTGGGTGTAAGTGAAGTTAAAAACACCACAAATAAAACAGTAATAATATGCCTCGCGTTTGATCACTGCGCGGCGTCTCGAAGCGCTTCACACAGGCTACACTGTAAAGTGTAGTGACTGCGTGCTTTGTGGGCGAAACGCGGCCGCCAATGGCGCGCAGCAGCGTCCCCACAAACAGCCGTGGATTGAGGGACCAAATTATTACTGTTTTTTTTCCTGAGGGGTTACTATCAGGCGGTGGTGTGTGTGGGGGGGGGGGGGGGGGGTGCGGAGTAAGGAAAGTTGCCTATGGTTTTGCCCCGACCTGTGGGAACCAGAACCCGGGTCTCTCACCTCTCACTCGCCGGCGAGTGCTCTCACCGCTGAGCTACAGGATTCCTATTATTGTTTATTAAATGCTTTGATGATACAGTATAACATAATACTATAATAACAATAAGACTGTGTAAAAAATAAAATCAATAAAGATACAATATAATACTACGATAATAAATGTTTGACTGTACAGCAAATAAAAATAAACAGATTCCTGAACTAAAAATACCGTTCAACATAAGAATTTAAAAATAAAGGCGTTTATATAAATAGGTGAAACAATAAAGTATAAAAACAAACTTCACGACAATAATAAACATAAGAAATAATAATAAACACATGAACCGTAGTAACAATATATAGAGAGAAACAGAGACAGAAAGAGACAGAGAGGGACAGACACAGACAGACAGAGAGAGACACAGAGAAAGCGAGACAGACACACAGAGACACAGACAGACACAGACAGACAGAGACAGACAGAGAGAGAGACAGACACAGACAGAGAGAGACACAGAGAAAGCGAGACAGACACACAGAGACACATAGAGACAGACACACAGAGACACATAGAGACAGACACAGACAGAGAGATAGAGACAGACAGACACAGACAGACGGACAGACAGACAGAGATAGAGACAGACAGACACAGACAGACAGAGACAGACACAGACGGACAGACAGACCTCTCTGCCCGAGCGATCCACCGCTCTGTTGACTTTGCCATAAGTGCCTTTTCCCAAAGTCTCTCTGAACTCATAGCGATGCTTCAGGTTATGTTTGTGGTGATGTCGCTTCACTGCCACTCTCCGGCTGCCCCCCCCGGGCACTGCCACTGCCCCCCCGGGCACTGCCACTGCCCCCCCGGGACTGCCAGCCAACATGGTAGGGGAGAGGGGGATAGAGGGGAATAGAGGGATAGAGAGACAGAAATACAGGTAAAGAGATAGAGAAGAGGGGTTAGAGAATAGATACAGAGGGATAGAGAGAGTGATACAGAGGGATAGAGAGAGTGATACAGAGGGATAGAGAGAGTGATACAGAGGGATAGAGAGAGTGATACAGAGGGATAGAGAGAGTGATACAGAGGGATAGAGAGAGTGATACAGAGGGATAGAGAGAGTGATACAGAGGGATAGAGAGAGTGATACAGAGGAATAGAGAGAGTGATACAGAGGGATAGAGAGAGTGATACAGAGGGATAGAGAGAGAGAGAGACACACACAGAGCTACAGAGAGAGAGGGGGAGAGGCACAAGGACCACAGACTCCCCCCTCACTCACTCACTCACTCCCCTTTTCCCTCAAAACAAAAATCTTAAGAGGAGATTTGAGGGTGAAAATGAAAGAGGGGACAGACAGGAGAGAGAGAGAGAGAGAGGAGGGGAGGGGGGGGGTGGTGGGGGAGATGGGGGGGAAACAAAGCAGTTGATCTCCTCTTCTCCCCTCCAACAAAACACACAAACACTACACTACACATCGATCAAAGTCTCAGTCCTCTGGAGCAGCGCATCTCCACGTGTCGATGGCTTTGTGGTTCTCCCCCAAATGTCCTCTCTCTGTCTGTCTGTTTGTTGCAGATCAGATCCTCTACACCGCCCACTGCTAATTCCTGTCCTCCCCTCAACCACTACCACACTCCCTCTCTTCCTCTCCCCACGGTCTGTAAGGCTTCAGGTTTCCACCCCCTTTTTGCCATATTAGCATCTCTCCGCCTTCCCTCAGTCTCAACCCCAATCCCAACCCATCCAATCCCTGACCAACATCCCAGAAGGTTGTCTCTCTCTCTGTATATCTCTCTTTCTATATATATATATATCTGTTTCTCTCTCTGTGTGTCTCTGTCTCTCTCTCTCTCTATATATATCTGTGTCTCTCTCTCTCTGTGTCTCTCTCTCTCTCTATATATATCTGTGTCTCTCTCTCTCTGCGTCTCTCTCTCTATATATATATCTGTGTCTCTCTCTCTGTGTGTGTGTCTCTCTCTGTCTCTCTCTCTCTCTCTCCCCTTATCTCACGCATCAAAGAAATTCCCACATTTACTTCCAAGGTAAACGTGGATTTTAAGAATAAAAACCAGGTGGGCACCGGCGTCCGGGGGTTTCGCCAGCCTTCGTGTCGGGCGCAAATTGCCCGCCGTGTTGTCCTACAGCACCTACCCCATCGCTGGGCTGCGCGGGAAATTCCTCGCGAGGAGCTTTGACACGTCTCACCGGCGTAATAAAGGCGCTGTTATTAATTAATTTCTGGATTATTAGCAGCGAGTAAGTTGGAACCCGGTTGTTAGTCGATTGGGGGATCGCTTTCTGGATGTGATAATCCCTGGGGGAATGGGTTGGGGGGTAGTGGGGGGGTTTGTGGGGTAGTGGGGGAGAGAGGAACTGTTCGTCAAGTCACAGAGGGAAAAGGGGAACTCCCTTCGCTTTTAGTTCGACGTGAAATCAAATGGGAAGCGCTCAGTTTGCAGTCTCTCCCGATCAATTATTCCTATCGATCCAAAGATCGAAACTCGATCAGAGTCTCTAACCCACCGGTTACGTCAGGGGTTGGGCTGACAGACTGAACGGGGGGCAAAGGTTCCCACACGATCGCATGAGATCTCCTCGCGACAGAGCCCTGGGGGTTTGGTAACAAAGCGTTTCTGTGGAGGACAGGAATTGGGGGCTTTTCCAACCCCTTTTGCTGACCCTCTGGACACTATTAGGCCGTCAGACACACATCCTCACTGAAAACAACAAGCCAGAGGTTTGGGAGGATTCATTTTACACCCACACGCACGCACGCACACGCAGACACACACACATTCGCGCACACGCAGACACACACGCATACACAGACACACACACACACGCATACACAGACACACATGCACGCGCAGACACACACACACATGCACGCGCACACAGACACACACACACGTGCACGCACACACAGACACACACACATACGCACAGACACACACACACATGCACGCGCAGACACACACATGCACGCGCACACAGACACACGCACGCACGCACACAGACACACACGCCTGCACACAGACACATATGCATGCACGCACACACACACCCATGCACAGACACACACGCAATGCACTCACACACGCGCACACACTCACAGAAAGATATTAGGATGTGGAACACATACCCAATGTGTGCGTGCGTGCGTGCGTACGTACGTACATACAGTATGCATTCGAAGACATGGTCAGAGGCGCTATATCAACTGCACAGATTATTATTATTATATTATTATTCAGTGACTAACTATCACTGTGATACTGTTCTCTTCTCTCACTGCCACCTGGTAGCTGTACAGTGCATTACAGCAGCAAAACATTCCCAATTTAAATGTCAAACACATACACTTAACATATGCATCACCTTGTACATTTGCACAGAGTAATCAATTCACCCCCTCCCCCCCCCCCCCCCGGGACAGAGATACAGACATAACTGAATAAACTAACCCCCAAACAATGCCTCTAAAAGCAATCATTAAATAATTACAGGCAGTTAAGGAATGAAAAGGCCAGTAATTGTGAAATGAAATGTTCCCTTAGGTCTGATTACATTCTTTCTCTTTTTTTTCCGCGGTGGGAGGGGTCGTAAAAGGCGCAGTATCTTAACCAACGATGGAGTTTGTCTGGAATTTCCATACAATTGGATAAATGTGCGAGAGAGAGAGAGAGATAAGCACACATACGTTTGCTGTCGGTGTGATTCCCCCCCACCCCTCCCCTGACACAGACCCTCTCCGCTTCTAATAATAATAATAATAATAATAATCCTGGCATTTGATGTAACGCCTTATCACGTCTTCGAGGCGTCTCAAAGCGCTTCACAGGATACGCTGTAAGGTGAATTGACTGTTTATTTTGTGGGCGAAACGCGGCAGCCAATTGAACCCAGGCCCTCTTGCTTGCGAGGCGAGTGCTCTAACCACTAGACTAGAGTGGTTAGTGCGGCTCAGGTGTCAGTCACACCATCAGAAGAGGGTGTTCATGGCCCCACATTTCGCTGTAATGGTCTCACACGCTCAACCCACTGATTCAGCAGAGAGTGAGGCTGAGATCAGTAACAGAACAAGGATGGAGCCCGGGACACCTTTTGTTCGTTGGGCATCGACCCCTCCACTGGACAAACGTCACTAAACATCTGGAGGGCGAGGGTGGCGGGAAGGGGGGAGAGGAGAGGTGTTGAACCCCAGTGTCAACCAAAATCTGACAAATATCCACAATCTCACAGAGAGAGAGAGAGAGAGAAACGTCTCAATATATTTACACCATTTCCAATACACAATCACACCACCACATGGCAATTATCTGGCTCCAACGTGTTAATTAAACACCCATTAATTAGGCACCTCTCTCTCTCTCTCTCTCTCTCGCTGATCAGCCTCAGTTTGTGGATTCCCCTTTCCTCTGGCTGATGGGAAGCTTTGTGGCGTTGATTGCAAAATTAATGACCGGCTTCACACAAACTTGTGTATCAAACGGCGTCAGAGATAAGCTCCGAGTCCTTTGCCGCGTGGTAATGGGATCACAGAGCCTCACAATCTGACTGCACAGAAGGGGGCCATTCGGCCCATTGTGTCTGCGACGGATATCTGTGTAAAGAGGTCTCCACTGAGCCCCCACTCCCCGTCCCCCCACACAGACACACAGTATCGTGGATTCTGCTCAAACCAGACCTGTCCTGACCTCTCCCAAATCCACTCTCCCAAATCCCCTCCCTTGTTTCTGTTGATAGTAATAACTTGATACAGTGCAAATCACGTCTGAGTGTCTCAAAGCGCTTCACAGGACATACTGTCAAGTGGAGTGACTGTGTATTTTGTGGGCGAAACGCGGCAGCCAATTGCGCACGGCAGCGTAACCCACAAACAATCGCGGATTGAGTGACTAAATTTTTTTCTAACACAGTACAGCCTGCTGAGCGGAGAGAGAGAGAGCGGACACCGCAATGTGGTGTGAGCTGGTCACAGAGGTAGGAAGGAGCAAAGCCGTGGAGGGCTTTGAAGGCGAGGACGAGGATTTGGAACTCAAGTTTAATTGAATCGAGTTTAATCTGAACATTTCAGATGTTTGGATCAGAAAGTCACACTCTGCATTCGATGACTCAATACACGACTGTTTGTGGGGACACTGCTGTGCGCAATCGGCTGCCACAAAATATACGGTCGATTCACTTTGCAGTCTACTCTGTGAAGCGCTTTGGGATATCTCGACGACGTGATAACACAAATAATATAAGGCACTATAACAAATGCAAGGCTTATTATTATTATTATTATAAGGAACAGCGCGATGCGGTGAGGGGAGTACGGTCGAGTGGAGAATCTGTCAAAGTTGGGATCCGATGGGCCGAAGGGTTTCCTTCACCTCGAACGAACCTCTAGTGTCAGCGAAAAGCTGGTAAAACAAACACTCCCCAGAATAGCTTATAAAGTGACGGTGCTAAATTTTTCGCAGGTAAATAAATGATTTGCTGAATCGGACACTGTTTGCGTTGTGGAAGGTCCCATTCGAACCCCATTGTGTTTGTGGGCATTGTTTGAAAGAATAGGGCCGTCTTTACTTTTTAACCCAGAACAATTCTCAAACCATTAACATTTAACTTCGGGGCATGACACAATAACATAGGGACAAGGAGGAGGCCATTCAGCCCCTCGAGCCTGTTCCGCCATTCTATGAGCTCAAGGTTGACCTGTACCTCATCTCCAATTACCCGCCTTTGCCCCCATAATCCCTTGATCCCCTGACCAAACAAACATGTGTCCACCTCAGTCTGGACTATGCGAATACCTGTATTAACTGTGAAGAGAAACCTCTCCAAAGAGACCACACGACACGTTTGCTCTTATTATAATAATAATAATAATCCTTGCGGTTGACTCAGCGCCTGATCACGTCTTCGAGACGTCTCAAAGCGCTTCACAGGATACGCTGTAAAGTGAATTAACTGTGTATCTTGTTGGACGAAATCACGGCAGCCAATTGCGCACAGCGACGTCCACACAAACAGCCGTGGATTGAAGCGACCAAATGATTCATTTATGTTCTTTTGAAGGGATTATTACTCCCAGAAACGTGACTTTTCCAACAGTGTCACAGAACAATCACCTGATCAGTCAGACAGACAGACAGACAGACAGATAGACAGACAGGACATCTGTGTGACTTCAACGCATCCCTTTCCCACCCACCCGCCCCCCCACCCCACCCCATAACCCCCAGCGTCAGCCCGGACTAACCCTAAGCTTATAAAATCCCCAGAAAAGTGAGGGCTTGAGCCCATGACTTTCTGACCTGGGGGTGAGGACACTTTCTTTTGTCGACCTGATCAATCTGTCGCCAACGACAGGAAATCCTGAGAGTGCAGAAGCCCAAAGCCCAGCCAAGGACCCTCAGCCAACAGGGACCAGCCCCGGGTCAAGGTATCGGCCCAAACCCCACGGAAGCCAACGATGGAATGAATCCGGATGGTTTGTCTGACGCCTGACTGACCTGAAACCCAACCCACTCACACCGGTCACTGGCTCTGAAATCACACTGACGCCTGCTTCAAGATAATAATAATAATAATAATATTATAATAATCCTTACGTTTGATACAGGGCCTCGAGACGTCTCAAAGCGCTTCGCAGGATACACTGTAAAGTGGAGTGACTGTGTGATGGGTGGGCAAAAAGCCACCTTCCTACCCCTACCCTTACATCCACCCCCACCGCCCTCCCTGCCATCCACCCCCTCCTGATCACAACCCCCAGTTCGGGGCCAAACCGCTGACTGTCCAGCCCAGTGCCTTGGGCGCTGCGTAAATGTCAATTGTTGTTGTTGTTGTTGTTGCTGTTGCTGTTGCTGTTGGTGATGACAGTCGTGGCCAACACACCCCCCCCTTCCCCCTCCCCCCCGCCCACCACCAACTCCTCTCAGTCCACCTGTGCCGTGAGCGCCCCCTGTCGGCCGGCCGTTAGGACTCGCTCTGGTAGAGAGCTTCCACCGCCCGGCTCGGACCCTGTGCCACTCCGCCCAGGACCACCAGCCGGTTGGCGAAGACGAGGCTGGAGCAGGTGCAGCGGGCGGTGGGCATCGCAGGGAGCGACTCCCACTTCTTCTTCACCGGGTGAAAGGCCTCGACCGAGCCCAGCACTGCCGGCTGGTTCCCTACCAACGAGGAGACATCGGCAGCATTAGTGTTGGTGTCAGTGTTACAGTCAGTGTTAGTGTTACTGTCAGTGTTAGTGTTAGTGATAGTGTTACAGTTAGTGTTAGTGTTACAGTCAGTGTTAGTGTTAGTGTTACAGTTAATGTTAGTGATAGTGTTACAGTTAGTGTTAGTGTTACAGTCAGTGTTAGTGTTACAGATAGAGTTAGTGTTAGTGTTACAGTCAGTGTTAGTGTTAGTGATAGTGTTACAGTTAGTTAGTGTTACAGTCAGTGTTAGTGTTACAGTTAGTGTTAATGTTAGTGTTACAGTTAATGTTAGTGATAGTGTTACAGTTAGTGTTAGAGTCAGTGTTAGTGTTACAGTTAGTGTTAGTGTTACAGTTAGTGTTACAGTTAATGTTAGTGTTAGTGTTAGAGTTAGTGTTAGTGTTAGAGGCCATGAGCTTTAACACAGGTTTACAGTACACACAGCGCCTTTAATACAGTAAAGTTCTGGGTTTCATTCTTCTGAAGGTCAGTTAAGTGAGCGCCGTTTCTGAGACAATCCCATAATAACCAAAGTAATAATTCTCGCACTTGACACAGCGCCTCATCCCGTCTTCGAGACGTCTCAAAGCGCTTCACAGGATACGCTGTAAAGTGAATCGACTGAGTATTTTGTGGGCCAAACGCGGCGGCCAATTGCGCACAGCGGCGCCCCCACAAACAGCCGTGGGGGTTGAGCGACCGAAGTTATCATTATTTATTTTTTGAGCTGATTGTTATAACACCCCCGGAAAAACGATCCGTCAATTGACTCATTTGCTGCGAGGTAAGCAGAGGCGTGTGGAGTGCGGAAACTTGGCCAATGTTTCAGGAATCGAACCCGGGTCCTCTCGCTTGCGAGGCGAGTGCTCTAACCACTGAGCTACCGGACTGGACTGAGTGTCTCACTCACAGACTGAGGGTGGGGGGTGGGTGGGGGCGGTGGGGGTCGAGACATTGAGAGTCACTGACCTAAGCCTCCAGCCACGATCACTCGCCCCCTCAGATTCGCGGCCACAAAATCAGCTCTTCTCTTCCTCATGTTTAAGCAGCGTTCGTTTTTCATCCAACCTCCTGGTCAGCGCAGGACAGCGAGAGAGAGAAAGGGCGAGAGACAGAGAGAGTGAGGGAGTGAGGGAGTGAGTGGGTGAGGGAGGGAGGGAGTGAGGGAGTGGGTGAGGGAGCAAAAGCGAGAGAGTGAGTGAGAGAAAGAGAGAGAGAGAGAGAGAGAGAGAAACACCATGAGAAAATGTGAGACAAACAGATAACAATAATAATTTGGGGTAAAAATAAATAAATAATCAATCCACCACCGGTTTAATCCAACTCCATATATCGTTCCCCCCCACAAGGACCACTCTGTCGCTGTCCAATTCTCTACAGTACATCACCACAGGGCAGGAGCCCTCTGTCTCCCTCTCTCTCTCTCTCTGTGTCCCTCTCCCATTCTATCTCGCTGCGTCTCACTCTCTCCATGTCTCACATGCTCTCTCTCTCTCTCTCTCTCCATCTCATCCTCTCACACAATTTCTCTTGAAATATTACTCTCTCCGTCCGTCCGTCCATCCGTCCGTCTCTCTCACACACAGTCTCTCTCACACAGTCTCTCTGTACCCAGTGCCCAAGCCCCCCAGGTGTAACCTCCGGCTGAAGTGCTCTGAGCGGTTACCCCTGCGCGAGGGGTGCAATATAAAGGCAAAGTGTGGCTGTGGCTGTGGTGGTTGCCCGCCTACCCTGCTCAATGTCAAACACCTCCACGGTCCTGACAAACTTTGGCCGTCTGTAGGCGTGGGTTTGCTGCAGGCCGCCCAGGCTGAGGAAACTCGTGTCTGTCATCACGTAGCTGGAGAAGGTGCGCTTGCCGGGGATGCTGGGGAACTTAGTCCAAGATCTCGTCTCCGTGTCGTAGACCTCGTAGGCAGCGACCGGGCATTTTGCCTGCCTCCCCCCTGCCGAGGGCGAAGGATAGCACAAAGCCATTTCCCAATCATCATCATCATCATCATCATAATAATCCTTGCATTTGATACAGCGCCTTATCACCTCATTGAGACGCCTCAAAGCGCTCGCCGGGTTAGCGTGTATAAAGTGTAGTGACTGCGTATTTTATAGGGGAGAAACGCGGCAGCCAATTGCGCCCGGCGACGACCCCACGAACAGCCGCGGCCACGTTACTCTTTTATGTACACAGACGTGTCCGCGGATGTGGTTGGGCTTCACTGCGTTGAGAGGTGTTTTGCGAGGTTTGGCCCTGGGTTGAGAAGGTGGGAGGTGGGCAAGTACCGTCCGCTGGTCAGTAGGGGGCCGCCTCGGTCTGCTCAGGGCACGTCAGCGGAGGAGAAGGAAATCCTAAACCACTGATCCCGTCTGACATTGTGTCATCGCGTCGCCAAACCCCCCCCCCCCCCCCAAAAAAAACATAGGGGTTCACCCCCAGAAAAGCCATCCGCCAATCGACCAACAAGCGGGTTCCTAATTACTGCTGGTAAACAGCGGGCATGTGCGCGCGCGTGCGCGTGTGTTTGTGTATGTGTGAGTGTTTGTGTGCGTGTACGTGTGTGTGTGTGTGTGTGTGTGTGTGTACGTGTGTGTGCGTGTTTGTGTACGTGTGCTTGTGTGTGTGTGTTTGTGAAAGTGTGTGTGTGATTGTGTACGTGTGCGTACGTGTGGAGTAAGGAAACTTGCCTCGGATTTTGTCCCGCCCGCCGGGAATGGCAGCCCCCGGGCGCTCTGGCGCGCGAGGCGAGGGCTCTAACCACTCGAGCTACAAAATAAACACGGACTCACCAAACACGTGGATCTTGGAGCCTCGGAGGAAGGTGCTGGCGCCGTACCTCGGGGTGGGCATCGCGGGCAACGGCAACCACACGTCCTTCAGCGTGTCGTACTGCTGCAGGAGGCCTTGGGGGAACATGGTGGTGCCCATCCCCCCCGCAGCATACACCCGGCAGTCTGCAACACCACAGTCACACAGTCACTTCATCATCATCATCATCATCATCATCATCATCGTCGTCGTCAGCCTCGCATTTGACACAGCGCCTTATCACGTCTTTAGAGACGTCTCAAAGCGCTTCCCGGGTTATGCTGTACAGTGGAGTGACTGTGTACTTTGTGGGCAAAATGCAACTGCGTTCGAAGCAATTGAGTGGCTGTATTTCCCGCTCCGGAGCTCAGCTGTTAACCTCCCAATATGTTTCACCCACAAAAACATAGAGTCGATACACTTCACAATATATATATATATATATATATAGATATATCAAATCTGTGTAGTGACTGTATGTATGTTGTGTGGAGGGAAACGCGGCAGCCAATTGCTCGCAGCGACGTCCCAGGAACGGTGCGGGATTGAGTGACCGACTTTATTGGGGTGTGGGGGGGGTTTGGGGTGGGATTGTCGGCCAGGACACCGAGACCGAGAGAGAGAGAGAGAGAGACAGTGAGGATAGATAGGGCTGTGGCCAAGTTGCACGCTGGCTGCCAGCGTTCTGAAAAGGACACAGTCACTACACTTTACAGCGTGTTCTGCGAAGCGCTTTGCGACGCCTCGAAGACGTGACGAGTCGCTGGGTCAGACGCCAGGATTATTATTATTATTATTATTATTATTACGTCGTGATTTACCTTTGACGGTGATGGACACCCCCATGGCTGCCTCTCGGAGCGAGGGTCTTCTCTCCCACCTGCCCTCCTCCACGCTGTACATCTCCACGGTGGACAGGGGTCTCTGGTGGAGCCCGACCCCCCCGATCACCAGCAGCCGCTTGCCGAGGGCGGCTACGGCCACCCCAGCCCGGGCCGTGGGCATCGGGGGCAGCGAGGTCCACTGGTCAGCCTCGGGGCAGTAAACCTCGCAGGAGCTCGTGGGGGTCCCGGTCTGGTCGCAGCCCCCGATCAGGTACAGCTGCCCTCCGCTCTCCACCGGGGCACAGTACACCCGGCCCGTCGGCAAGGGAGCCAGAGACTGCCATTGGAAGGTCTTGGCGCTGGCCACGGCCATGGTGATGGCACTGCCCGCACCCTTGCTCTCTCCCGTTCTCTCTCTCTCTCTCCCTCTCTCTCTCACCACCGCCCCCGACAGCCCTCGTCCATCACAGCAACGGCTCTTCACACTCCTTTTCTCGCGTTCCTTTTCGCCCTTTCTTTCTCTCCTCGAGTTCTCTTTCTTTCCCGCTTTCTCTTCTCGAGCTCTCGCTCTCCTCCTCTGCTCTGCTGTGGGCTCACGTCAGGCGAGGAGTCGGGTGGAGGTGCGGAGTCTGGGAGGAGGGACAGGTAACGCAGGAGACAAAACGAAACGCGGAGGTCAGTGGATTTCGCGGGAGTGATTTCGTGCTTCTTAACGACTGTAATTTTAATCGCATTTTTGAATTACTGCACCCACGGGTGGGGGGGGGGTGGGGGGGGGCGCGTGTGCGGGGGTTGGGGAAGTGGGGGGGGGGGGGGGGGAGGCGGGGGAGTGGGGGGAGGGGAGGAGCTCTTTCCCCTTGGGAAACTGGGAAACAACACTTGAAAGAACCACGGAGATCCGAATTATTCCCCGGGGGGGGGGGGGAGGGAGGAGGGAACCCTGGCCTGAGGGGGGGGTTTATCAACTTAGTCATGAAAGCATCTCGAGGTCACTTTAACTGTGTGTGTCTGTGTCTCTCCACCGTCTTTCTCTCGTCTGTCTGTCTGTCTGTCTGTCTGTCTCTCTCTCCCCGTCTCTCCCTCCTCTCTCTGTCTCGTGTTATCCTCAGACTGAGGTGAACGTCAGTCTCCGTCTCCTCCTGTTTAGTTATTCCAGTATCTTGGCAACAGCTGATATCTCCTCACCACCGTCAGTCACTAGGTAACGGGCTCTGTATCCCTGCCGACATGACACATCCCCCCCCCCCCACCCACGTGTGTCGGAGCGTGTTCTCCATGTGGCAGAGCGCGTCCTACGTGTCGACCACACGTCCTACTGCCCGGCACAACCACAGAGACAGCGGCGACAATAACAACGAGACGACAGCAACAATGACAGCAACAGCGACAACAACAGCAGCAACGACGACGACAACAGCAACAACGGCGACAACAACGACAATAACAGCGACAGCAACAACGACAATAACAGCAACAACGACAGTAGCAGCATCAGCGGCGACGACAACAATGACAACAACGACGACGACAACGGGCAATTGCCTTTATACAGCGCTCTGAGTGCTCAGCGCTGGACGGGTTTCTCAACCCGGTGAAGGCTTCATCTCCACAGCGTTGACACAGGGTCAGTCTGTCACAGTCTCCACATTGACAAACCACCAACCCAACCCAGTCACCGCTTTGGGAGAGACCAACAAGGGTTGCACGAGGCTCGGACGACACACGTTGAGACGTCCTCTCGGGGCGCGAGAGGCGCTACAACAACAACAACAACAACAAGATTCCATTTATAGAGTGCCTTTCACGTCAGGAGGACGTCCCAAGGCGCTGCACAGTTGGGTCATGACCCGAGCAGGGGGGAAATGGTCAGGGTGAGGGGGGAAGGGAGGGAGCGAGGAGGGGGGAAATGGTCAGGGTGAGGGGAGGGAAGGGAGGGAGAGAGGAGGGGGGAAATGGTCAAACGCAAGTTGATGCTGTTGTTGTTTGTTGTTGTTGTTGTTGGGAGAGGATTATCATCCCTGGCTCTAAAGAGGCTCCTTCCCTCAAGGGGTTGGCTAATCTCTCCCGTCAAGATTGACCTGCTCGCTGAAGGCGATCCGAGCGCCCTCTCCGCGGGGAACGCAGCACAAAGAATGTCCCGGGATTCCGCAGGAGACAAAGACGCGCTCTGATCAGCCCCCGACGGCCTCACAGACCAACTCCTCAGCCAAACCAAACCTGCTTCCTGTCTTGGCTTGCTCTCAGCAATTCTGCACTGAAACATCAAGCCCAGCTTGTGGGGAATGCGATTAACAAGCAGAGGGCAGAGAGAGAGAGCGAGAGAGCGAGAGAGAAAACACTGTAGTGGCTTCCTGTCATTGCTCTCATATTAATTATATTTTGCCGAGGTGCTCTCTCTCTCTCTCAGTCCATCTCCTCAGCCCTCCAAAGCCAATGGCCCACAGGAGACCTTTATCCAGGATTGAGAGAGTAAACCAGAGACCATTCTTTCTGAGACCCCCCAAGGCAGCAGGACAAGAGAACCCGGGTACAGAGTAGGGAAGGGCAGCTTTAGGACAGACATTGCAGAGGGAGCTTTACTGTGTCTCTAACCCCGACCTGGGAGTGTGGACGCACAGTGTAGACGGAGCTTTACTGTGTCTCTAACCCCGACCTGGGAGTGTGGACGGACGCAGAGTGGAGAGGGAGCTTTACTGTGTCTTTGTCTCTAACTCGTGCTGCCGTTGCTCTGGGAGTGTGGACATGAAAGGCACTGTGTAAATGTAAATGTGCAATGAATTATACTGTATCTCAAAGGAGCTGACAGTTAGTGTATCAGGGCTGGGGCTGAGCAGATGTGGCTGTGTATCAGCCTGGCGTCAGTCAGCACACTTAATTACTTGCTGAGGTTCCGGTGCTGTTGCTAACATAAATCTAGCTCCGTCCTTCAACAGTAAAACAGGGACGGATAAATTATAATAATAATAATCCTTGCATTTGATATAGAGCCTTATCGCGTCTTCGAGACGTCTCAAAGCGCTTCACAGGATACACTGCAGGAGAGGGGACTTGTTCGGGGATTGCTGCGCACGTGTTGGCTGTGGCGATCGGCGATAGAAAACACGCAGTCACTACACTTCACAGTTAAAAACAACCCTGCAAAGCGCTTTGAGACAATAACGTGCGTTTATATGGAACCTTTCAGGAGGAAGGGCGGCATCTCGGAGACCTTAAAGTCCTCCCGACATGAAAGGCGCAATAATAGTGTAAGAAGAATATAATAATACTTGCATTTGACATAGCGCCTTATCGCCCACAAAATAAACAGTCAATCCACTTTGCAGTATATCCTGCGAAGCGCTTTGAGACGTCTCGATGCTGTGACAGGACATTTGTTATATCAAATGCAAGGATTATTATTGATAATAAAGGAAAGGCTAAAGCTAGACATGAGGTACTGGCAGTCAGTCAGTCAGTCAGTCAGTAATAATTGCTCAGAGACCTCACAACCAATACACTGTGGAACAAGTTGTTTACTCAAGGATCAAGGGTGAGGTGATGGTATTGACTTACCCACATTTTGAGGCGAGCTGTTTAATGGGTGGTGATCGACACACACGGTTTAGTTGCCCCAAATCGTTGACACCCTTGTGTTCTTTTCCTTTCGAAGGATAATCCATTCGTCCATTCGCAATGAAGCCCCTTTCTCTCCTCTCTTCTCTCTCCCTCTCCCTCTCTGACTGTGTGTCTGTGAGAGATGTTAGAAATAAACTGCCTGACACACAGATGTACACAAACCGTCTCCCCGTCTAAACAATCTGGAGTCTGTTTCAATCCGAGGAGAGGAGAGGAGTTTCCCTGGCTGTCCTAAACCGACACGGCAAAAAAAAACATAAAGGCAGCAAAATTTGCCATTTGCAACTTCAATTCCAAGCAATTTAATAATCCTGGGATTCAGGGTTATTTATAGAGCGAGCACATTTCTTTTGCTGTTCTTCCCTTTCATGTGTGTGACTCCGAGAGAGAGGGGGACAGACAGAGAGAGAGAGAGAGATGTATGTGCATCAAATTCACTACAAAAATACAGAAACGTCTTTAATGCTTTATGAAGGAACTCTCTCTGACGCTGTCACACACACCCACTCTCCCTCTCTCTCTCTCTCTCTCTCTCTGTGAGCGTCTCTATCCACGCTCCTGAGGGATCTTAGAGTCTGGGCTTCCCACGCTGCGAGCAGAAGTGACGGACAGGAGAGGGAACAAATCATAACATATTCTTTTTATATCGGGAAAATCATTGCAAGGCAAAACCACAGAGGCACCCAGAATTCAAGGAGAATTCAAGGAGACAACAACAATAAATGACATTTACACCGCGTCTTTCACGTCGGGAGGATTTTGGTGGGGGGGTGGGGGGGCAGCCAGTGGGGAAGCAATAATTTGTATTGCTATTGCAGTCACCGCTGGCTTTTAGGTTATGTCAATCTGAATGAGCACAGGGCTTGTGAAGTCTGGCGTTTGTGACCCTGAGAGGGGGAGAACAGCGGCAGCCCAGTGCTTGCTCATCGCTCGACTCCAAACCACTAACCACATCAATAATAATACTTACATTTGATACGGTGCCTGATCACGTCTTCGAGCGCTTCACAGGATACGCTGTAAAGTGAATTCGGTATATTTTGTGGACAAAATTTTTGGAAGGATTATTACCCACGGAAAGCAATCCGCCAATCGACTAAACAACTGGGTTCCTACTTACTGCTGGATAAACAGAGTCCCGTGTGTGTGCGTGCGTGTGCGTGGAGTAAGGAAACTTGTCTACGGTTTCGCCCCAGCCCGGGAATCGAAGGCAGGTCCTCTCGCTTGTGAGGCGAGGGCTCTAACCACTGAGCTACAGGGCTCTGCGTACTCTAGTACAGGAGCGTGAAAGGCCAAACGCCAGAAACAGAATAACTGACTCGCTCTTCGATCTTCCATCGTTCCTTTATGTTCAATGACACAGCTGACACCGTGGCTTCCTATTGCCACAGCTCAGTGCTGTGATCACAGCCACTCTATCCAGCCAGCAAAACATTTGGAGATAGAGACATAAAAGCTAACGAATAGCTATAATCTACTTTTGTCCCCACTCCACCACCCTCCCCCCCCCCCAGCCCCCCACTCCACCCCACCCCAATTTGGCCCCCCTCTCTGGTCTTTAGCCAATTCCCTCTGAATTCATTGAATACTTTCCGTTCTAGCATATTTGTGTTATGATATCACTGTTTTAGGAGCACATTTCTCTTCCCTAATTTGGAGATAGCCACTGTGGGTCTGAGCACACAGCCAACCCAACCCCAACCCCTCGTCTCTGTGACATGCCAGTCAATCCCAGGCACCCACAGGAACTTGCGCCTGGGTTAAGCTTAGGTTGAGAGAGAGAAGACAGAGAGAGCTCTTATCATTACCTGAGTTGACTTTTGACGGTGATAAATAATAATCTTTACGCTTGATTTTAACACCTGTTATATCGACATGTCTCAAAATGCCTGACAGTCAATTGGCAAATGTTGGCAATCCATTGTTGTACACACAGCAACAGCCATCCATCAGGTGAACATCCAGTTTATACCTGAAGGATTGTTGACCAGGACAGCGGGAGAAACTGGTTTCTCTTTTGCGTTAGCGTCGTAGGATATTTAACATCTACCTGAACAGCCGGGCGGGACCTCAGTTTAACGTCTCATCTAAGAATGACAACTCCAGCAATGCTCAATGTTACATCAGGAGAATCTTTATATACAACACACTTTATATTGAACGGAAGAATTTGCTGTGAGGCGAAAGAAGACCAAGGTGTACCTAGTTCACCTTCCACCATCCTGGCAGTCGCTTGACATGCCGTGTCCCAAACTATATATTGTATGGTATCCCCAGATATTATTTTCTAATGGAAATCTATTGAATTTTTTCTTGAAACATACGTCAATTTCTGCTTCTAACCTCTCCCTATAAAGCGCCTTTCAAGCTGGGAGGACGTCTCGAAGGTGAGAGCAAATACCTTGCCAGGGAGAGGAGAATAAATCTTACACAGGATGAGATGACATAAGTGGTGCGCATTAAAAATGATTTAAAAAAAATATATAGCAGGAGTTTTCAGTCTCTAGAGAAAAGGGAAGGAAATGAGAGCCAGACACCATGTAATTAAGACCTGTCTGCCTTTGGCCCAACAGCGCCAAAAAGAATGTTCTAACGCAACAAATCACTGACCTGATTTTGGCTTCAAGCGCATTCGAACAGCGAGAGAGAGAGAGAGAGAGAGTCTGTTGCTGTCTGGCAGTGAGCTACAGAGATTGGAAAATAATAAGACGAATCCTTGCATTTGATGTAACACCTTATCACGTCGTCCAAGATGTCTCAAAGCGTTTCACAGAATATAGTGTAACGTGGATTGACTGCCCACATACAGGCCGTATAAACACTGTGCATGCAAATACTTTCCTTACATTATCCTTGCTTGTCCTTGCATTGCATTTGATATAGCGCTTTTCACGTCGGGAGGACGTCCCAAAGCGCTTCACAGAACACACTGTAAAGTGAATTGACTGTATATATTTGTGGGCGAACGCGGCAGCCAATTGCGCACAGCAATGTCCCACAAACAGTCGTGGATTGAAAATGACCAATTTATTATTGTTTTTTTTTTTTTTTGGAGGGATTATTATTAGGCGTGTGGAGTAAGGAAACTTGCCCAAGGTTTCACCCTCTGCCTGGAATTGAACTCAGGTCTCTCACTTGCAAAGCGAGTGCTCCAACCACTGAGCTACAGTACTGCAACCATTAGATTAATTTTGAAAGATAAAAGCACCAGGAAATACAATACCGACAGAACCAGCCTCGATGGGCCAGAGGGCCTTCTGTTAAGTTGCACAATTTGGCACCTTCTTAGCGACTATGTGAAAGCTGCTCTATTACTCCACACCCCCTCCCCCCCAACACAACCAACCCTATCTTACCCCCTCATTCCCCTCTTTTAGATCACGACCGAAGAGCTTCCTCTTCAAACATACGGTCACCTCCTCCCACCCCCCGCCCCCCAGCTCGGGGCCAGGCTCTCCCAGCTTCCCCCCCACAACCCACTCACCCCCTCCCCCTAATGTAGGCAGTCATAAAATGAAGCACTTGTCAAATATACAAACTTTATTTTCAATTTGGATTAGGAAAGTTTGCAGTTCGAAATAAATAAGGCATATTCCTGGCAGATGAAGCCAGCAAGGTAAAGCATTCTCGAAAGAAAGAGCACACTTGATAAGATCATCATCACCCTCCTCTTCACCCCCCCCCCCCCCGCCCCCCCACCCACCACCACATAAAACGAGTAATGTAACACATCCCGAGGATTCAGGATGCAAAGAATTGTGAGGTGCGCAGAACAGCTGTTACGCTGGGAGAATATTGGGAGCGTTAACAGGACATTTCCGGGGCGAGACATACAGCCACTAAAGCTGCTTCTAGGGCAGCCGACCTGACCCGGGAGCGCGCTGGTGACGAGCGCAGCGCGAACTCACAACACGTTTAAATCTGCCCAGGTTTATTTTTCACCATTGCCTGTCGTAAATATACCAGAGTGTGGTTCTGGTAGCCAACAAGAAACACAAGGCAACAGGGCACGGGATACAGAGGGTGCAATCACGCCCAGACAAGGCTGCCCTAAGCACACCAACCAGAAAGTCACCACACCGCCGTGCGGCCCCCGCTACAGGGAAGGCATTAAACTCAAGACAGTTCCTTCTTGTTATGGTTTTATTTATTTTTTTTAAAAATGAAACCCAAGTTTATAACTGGAAAAGAAAAACAGATGCCGGTTAAGTTCACCTTTCCCGCGAAACTACCTGCGGATTATTTTGCTTTGGTCGTTTCAAATCGAGTAATCAGCTTTGTTAGCAAATGGAGACTTTCTAATTATTACGCGCAATGTAAAGGGGAAACGAGAGGAGCTTAGATGCTGATAATAGTCCTTGCATTCGATACAGCGCCTTATCACGTCTTCGAGACGTCTCAAAGCGCTTCACGGGATACACTGTGAAGTGTAGTGACCGTGCATTTAGTGGGCGAAACAAATGATGTGGCTTAAGAGCTGGCTGGTCAATAATTTGTGCAGCGCAAACGGTTTTAATCTCTCAATGCTTAGAGGGTTTATCTGATGCAGCAAAGCAAGCGGACTCGAAACGCTTTGAGACGTAAACAACATCAGGAAGTTTGCATCTCACGAACGTAGGTTGAAAGCAGAGCTGTGCAAGTCTGCAGCTGAGACTCCAGCTCGGTCTCTGGGGATTTACCCCTTGAACACACAAGCAGAAGCAAGCGGAGATCCGAATGCACACTGGGTGTTGCTCTGCAGAACTGATCGGGTACGGATTTGACGAGCTCAAAACTCAAAGACGGAAGCAACGTCTCTGGCTGGGATCCAACTCAAAGTTCGACAGTGAAGACTACAGGTTTCTAGCAGAAGAAAATCTAAGAATTGCTGCCAAGGTTTAACTAGACAATGATAAAAAGCAAATGGTCTGTGAACCTTATTTGCAAGTGGTCCATTAATTATCCTCCTCTTTACATCAGCTAAAATATAATTGCACAGCCAGTAGCATATATATATATATATATATATATATATTATTCCTGTTCCAACCTCTAGGCTCCTAACTGGAACTGGATTAAGCAGAACAAACCAAAGGGTATCCCAAAAAAGACGGATTCTAATAGATCTAATAAAATAAAATAATCCTTGCATTTGATATAGCGCCTGATCACGTCTTCGAGACGTCTCAAAGTGCTTCACTGGATCTAGTCAGGATGAACAGTCACAACACAAAGATAAAAGAACATATCGGGCAAAGCGAGATGGCTGTGTTCGTCAGCTTGAAAGACAGCGCGCACTAAAGCTGACTGGTTGTAATACAGTGTCCCTGTCATACGATTAGCAAGAAGTATTCAGAGCACTATAAATAGCCACCGGAAAGCCTCCAGCTTACAGCAAAATGACAATGATCCTTGTGTTTGGTATAGTGCCTTTCAAGACAGGAGCACAACTCAAGGCTCTTCAAAGGATTAACTGTGAAGTGTAGTGACTGTGTATTTTTTTTGGGGGGGAAAATCGAACGCAGCAGCCAATTTGTACACAGCAATGTTCCACAATCAATCATTAAGTGAACTATCTCATTTTAATAGCTGGGACACTGGGAGAAATCTATATATTTTTGATTAGTGCCACAGGATCTTTAATGTCGACTTGCACAGGTGCAGATGGAACCTTGGTTGAAGGTCTCATCCGAACGAGAGCGCCTTCAACCACACAGAGCAACCCCAGCGGTTTTGGGGTGTAAAGTCTAGATTGAGTTCAAAGTCTTGATGTGGGGCTTGAACCCACAAACCGTTTGGACTCAGAAGCAAGAGCGTAGGCAGGCTGACAGCGAATCAGGATCGCTAGCTTTAGCGGAGGATACTAAAACCCCAGAAATCTCTGTGCAGTGACATTTATAAACAGCTCCCAGGACAGGCGTGGAGCTGTGCGTGTGCCACGTAACCTCACAAAGGATGTCTCGTGGCGATTATGGGGACCAGTTTCCCATTGTGACCGTTTCTGAAGGAGTTTGTAACCTCACCGTAAGAAGCGCATGTTAATTGGACTGTGGGAAGTGTGGGCGAGGTCCAGTCAACGACAAGCTAAAAAGGCCCGTCATGTTGGCTGATTTACCCACAAGGTTTCAGAACCGAGGGCTGCACTGAACAGCCGAGTTTCGAGCATCAGTAGCGACTGTTAATTACAATATAGTTATCTGAATAATTGCACCATTTAGAGAAGGGTGCGTGTGTACGTCCGTGTTTGTGTGTGTGTAAGCGTGGAAGGAGGAGATTTTAAAAAAAATGTTTTTAATGAAGGACACAAAATATAAATTCCCCAAATACAAGGGGATTTAGGGTTTGGGTTTAAGTCCTCCTGAAATCATGTATGTACACGGTACATTTGCGGTATCTTTCTACCTTGGCCTGTTATCAAAGTTGTATGTTAAGAGGTGATAGAGGGAAGAATGAGCACTTGATTCGGATTCCTCGGTTACGTTACATTGGCCGGAAGATAATAATAATAATCCTTGCATTTCATATAGCGCCTTATCACGTCTTCGAGATTTAAGTGACCATCACATTACCTGACTGGGATATCTTTTGCTTTGCTCTCACTGCCTTCAAACTGCCTGCACACCAGCTAAACTGGAACACTATAAACTGTTGGTGCTTTTTATTTTGTTTCTCTCTCAAAAAAAAATGAAAGACTAGTGAGTAATAAAAGTCTGGATTTAAAAAACACTCTTACATACAATGCCCTAAATATAAAGAACACAAGGAAAAGGCATTTATAAGGCGATGAACACACATGAAATTTTACGCTAAGTAACTGTACTCACAACAACAAATTTCAAATTGTAAAAAAGTTTTTTATATATATACCCCAGTGTCTGTCACTGAAGAAATGATCAAAAGAAAATTAATAATAATAATCCCTCGATATGATACTGAACCTCATCACATCTCAAAGCGCTACACAGGATATGCTGTAAAGTGAATTGACTGTATATTTTCGTGGGCGAAACGTGGCAGTCATTTGCGCACAGCAGTGTCCCACAAACAGTGGTGGATTGAGCGACCAAATTATTTTTTTTAATGAAGTGTTGAAGGGATTATTACCCCCGGAAAAGCGACCCGCCCATCGACTAACAACCGGGTTCCTACTCACTGCTAGGTAAACAGAGGCGTGTGTGTGGAGTAAGGAAACATGCCTAAGGTTTCGCCCTGCCCGGGAATCGAACCCGGGTCCTCTCGCTTGCGAGGCGAGAGCTCTAACCACAGGACTCCACAAATGACCAGTGTGTACCATGTCGGAGATTTGGAGTGCCTCGTGCGATGCAAACGCGCTGTAAAAGTTTGTAACATCTGATTTGGGATCTGGGTAGGTCAAGGAGGAGAGGGATGTTAGGGGGGAAGGAGCGAAATCACGATACCAAACAGACAACACGAGAAAACGTCACTATCCTGCTAACCCACCACATTCCCACATCCCCTTCCACACAACTTCTTAACCTAACTAGATAACAGTGTTCCTCACCACAATGGCTTGAGATGGGGGTGGGAGGAAGCAAAAAAGGGAAGAAACATGGGGGGGGGGGGGGGAAGAAAAAAAGTTATTTCAACATATCAAGGCATTTTTCAATAGAGATGTAACTGGCTGACATAAGGTCATAGATACCCAATGTATAAAACAAGTGAAAGCTCAAAGGGCATTTTAATATTTAAAACATTACTTGAAAAAAAAATCAGGGACTGACTGACAGACAGACAGACAGACTGACAGACAGGCGTCTGTTTGGGTGAACTGATCTACTCTTGAGCTGCCTGGGGATTGAGGTCGGGAGATGCCTGTGATTCCAACTGGTCTGGCTGAGATGCCACCTGGTTCCGAGAGTCCTCAATGAAGTAGGCAAAGGGGCTCTCTTGATTGCTCTCCATGGCCTGATAGACCAGGAAGAGGAAGAAAACCACCATGATGAACAGCAGGAGCTGCAGCCACACGGGCACGAGGCGCGGGGCTGGGCTGGCGTCTCTCTTGGCTGTGGCCGAGCTCCTCTCCTTCGCCTGGGTCAGCAGATCATCGTATCTGTACTGGACTGGTCGGCCTGCCGCTCCCTTGATAGGTCTTCGACGTGTTGCACTGCGGAGAATGATAATCACATTAATCCTCTGCATTTGATATAATCGTCTTATTGTGTCGTTGAGACGTCTCAAAGCGTTCTATAGTGAATCGACTGTGTTTGTGGGCGAAACGCGGCAGCCAATTGCACACAGCAGTGTCCCCACAAACAGCCATGGATTGAAGTGACCAATTTTTTTTATTTTTTTTTGAAGGAATTATTATCCCTGGAAAAACTCCCGCCAATCGACTAACAACCGGGTTCCTACTTACTACTTGGTAAACAGAGGCGTGCACAGTAAGGAAACTTGCCTAAGGTTTTTGCCGCATCTGGGAATGGAAGCTGGGTCCTCTCGCTTGCGAGTCGAGCGCTCTAACCACTACTCTACAGGACTCCGAGGAGGCAGGTTGATAGTATGTTGAGTACTGTACTCAAAGTCCTTGCTGGCTGAGCAAGACAGCTGGTACTGTATAATTGTTCCATAATAATTACATGAATCTTTCTGCAGCTTTTTACCTGATTCCCAATGGAGAATCTACTTCAGATGTAAGCGTCTTGCTCAGCACATCCTTTCCCCCATCCACCTGCAAACAGTTGTTTAAGAAAAGTTTTAACACTTGCAGTGGATCAACACACTGTGTACATAGCTGTTTTACAAATATAACCATTCTTGCTCCTAAGCACCACTCCCAATGCTGTCAGAACTTAACGTGTAACGTGTAACTGGCTTTGTAAAGGCCACAACATTCACCTTTAGTGCAGTCACTGGCACGTGAATGGAACAATATTTGCATATCAATCATTTTCATTCACCGACACAAACATGGTTGCCAGGAAATGAGAGTAGATTACATACCCTGGTTACCTGCCTTTCTGCCGAACCTTACAAAGTGGTTCAGAGGTTGGCTTGTTCCAACTCCAGTGCTGACCCAATTTAAATGGGATGAAAGTGAAACATTAACGCGCCATCATTTCACAGCAGTGTAAGGCTGCTGCTCTCCGGAACTCGCTTCCCAAACCTCTCCACTCTGCTCCCTAGCCTCCTGGACCTCAAACCTTCCTCTAAAAAAGAACAAGCTGCCTCTTCGACAGTGCCTTGTGACCCCCCCCCCGCCCCCACCCCACCACGCCCCCATTCATTCCACTTTGATGGATTTCCTCACGTGTCAGACAGCTGGCCAGCCGAAAAATTCACCTGGTGGATTCGCCTATACGGACAGCGCTGTATGGTGGATATATGTGGATCAGTTACTTGGTTGCACAGAGGTTGTCCTTACCTGAACTTGACCTGACCTGTTCACCGTGGCCCCCTTTTGAGTTATGGTTTGTCTCAGGTACGAGGATTCTGACACTTAAAAAAGAGAAGGTTCAGAGATTACAGCGAAAACCATTGCTTCACGTTGATCACAAACAACCAGAGATGTGTCTACATAAAGAGCGCTACAAATGTCTTCCTATTTTAGGACAATTGACATCAAAATGGAAGTTTCACCTCACCAGTAACTCTTGCTGCAGCACCCTCAGGAGGGAAGTCTGTAAAATAAAGTTTAACATTGATTAATTGTGTTTCAAACTTTTTTTTCCCTAAGAGGCACGCAAACATGAGCTAGACGCACCGCAAAAACTGGGATAGGCCCTTTCAAAAAAAAAAATAATTTGGTCACTCAATCCACGACTGTTTGTGGGACACTGCTGTGCACATTTGGAGGCCATGTTACGCCCACAATATATACAGTCAATTCCCTTTACGGTATATGCGGTGAAGCGCTTTGAGACGTCTTGAAGATGTGATAAGGCAAGTATTATTATTATTATTATTATTATTATGTGTAGCTGATGCCATTGCAGACAGGCTGAGAGAGAGGGGAGTTTAAATTTGAACCCGGCCTCGCTGAGACAAAGAGGGAAAATCAAAAAGGCGTCGTTTTACCATCTTCCTCTTCGCTGTCCGAGTACTGGTCGAGATCTCCAGTGCCGTTCTGCTTCAGCGGAGGCACGGATGGACCCTGGCCCATCAACTTCAACAGCTTCTTCTCATAAACCATCCTGGTGCTGGCTGGAAGTGGGAGGTTACGCAGGAAGTTATACAGGACCTCAGCGCGGAAAACGCATTCAAAAATTGCTCAGAGAAGGCATTCGGAACTCCATCCCACGGTCCCTTTCTCAAGACCCTGATAAACTCTGATCGATAAAATTTAACAAGTGGATGGAAATGAAATCCCCCGTCAATTTAATACCATGGAAAGTTTCAACACGTGCAGTTGAAAGGTGACTGGGAGATTTTCTCCCCGAGACACATGATTAATAGCACAGATTTCACCCGTTTGCAGGACGTCGCTGTGCGCAATTGGCTGCCGCGTTTCGCCCAACAAAATAAACAGTCAATTGACTTTACAGCGCGTACCATGAAGAGCTTTGAGACGTCTCGATGACGTGATGAGGCGCTATATCAAATACAAGGATTACTACTGTTGTTATTACTTCAGACTGGAAGCTTGGTGCACAATATACTGAGAGCACGAGCGTTTTCCTGGCTAGAGGTAAATGGGATTGCCACTCCGATGCACGAGCTCGTCTTTCGCAGCGAGTGGGAGTGGGGAGATCGCAGGGATCGGGGCTGCCAGACACTGGCATCAACGTTTGCCCACAAAATACACAGTCAATTCACTTTACAGTATATTCTGTGAAGCACTTTGAAGACGCGATAAGGCGCTATGTCAAATGCAAGGATTATTATTATTATATCAAATGCAAGATTCATTTATATTATTAAGTGAAAAGGACTCTCTGTGGGACGGTACGACAGTTTTTGCTACCTACCCACAATAGGACCTGGGGTGATTCCATATTTCATCAGATGTTCCTTCAATTCTTCATCTGTCAGTGCCTTGGTATCCATTGCATTAGCATTGATGTCTTAACGTCTTTAAGTACTGAAAAGCTCCTTAATTTAGAAAAGAAATACAGGACGATTAACGCAATGAACCTGCAACAAAGGCTGTGCTAACACCAGAAATGTGCACAGCAGAAATTCCCTTCGATTTCCAACCCTATAGAAACCAGTTGGGAAATGAGATCATCACTAAGGACTTAAAAACAAAAAACGGACCAAAAGCAATTATGTAATTCGTTTTAAAGTCACGAGCGAAGGAAGCACAGAGATGAGGCAAATGGTGCAGTAACCCTTCAGATTGCTTAAATTATCGTCAGCTCTCTAAGACTGCATGTTTTGTGGGCAAAATGCAGTAGCCAATTGCGCACAGCAGTGTCCCACAAACAATTGTGGATCGAGCGACCAAATTATTATTGTTTTGCTCTTTTAAAGGGATTATTACCCCCGGAAAAGTAATCCACTAATCGGCTAACGACCAGGTTCCTGCTTCCTGCTAGATAAACAGAGGCGTGTGGAGTAAGGAAGCTTGCCCAACCTTTCGCCTTGCCGGGAAACAAACCGAGGTCCTTTCACTTTGCGAGTCAAGTGCTCTAACCACTAAGCTACAGGACTCTTGTGTTTACCGCCTCTCATTTCCCTCAGGCATCAGTGATTTTTTTCTACGGTCTAGAAATATTTTCACGTCTTGTGCCTCATGAAAACTACCATAGCAACCTGGTTCACAACATGACGAAACCTGAAGCGCTCAACGTAAATACTCGGTTTGCAGCAACTTTGCCTCGAGCAAGCCTTGGAGCAAGTACGCAATAAAACTACAAATTAATCTTTTTTTGGACAAGTAGGAACAAGAGCTCCACAGTCTACAAATATATTTCGCCCGCAAAATACACAATCAATCCACTTTCGATTGGATGTTTTGTGAAGCGCTTTGAAACGTCTCGAAGACACGGTAAGGCGCTGTATCAGATGCAAGGATTATTGTTAAAATTATTATCATTATATGATATGGACTTGGGCAACAGAAAGTCAAAACAAGTTAATTGGCTTCACACCCTCCAGGTTTTGATAATGTAATCCTTATTAAATTTGATGCAACGCTTTCCACGTCAGGAAGATGTCTCAAAGCTCTTCAAGCGAAGTGGAGCGACTGTATTTCGTGGGCACACTCGCAGATTGGGCATCACTGGTTTAGACCAAACAAGGTAGTGGGAATCATGAATGAAACAAGATATCACCATGAAATTTAATCAGTGATCTTTGCTGTCAGTTCACTCCTCACTCAAGTATCCAGCCCCAAGTGGAAATACTGTGGACTCTGAGGATTGTGCAACTCAAAGTAAAATATTCTGAGGCTCTACACTGGGAGCGGCAAACATGTGGAAGGGAATACTCAGGGAAGGAGTGGAGGAAGGCTGTGTTAGCACATGCTAAAGGAAATCAGGGAACCATTTAGCGCTTTAAATTTGGAACTGACCAGATGGACAGCAATGGTCTTGCGTAATCCTGTTTGTTCCTATGCATTTCTCATGACGCAGCCTCTTTAGAGTTGTGCAAGACAATCATTTTTTGTATCACTGTGGCTAAACATCTCAACCATAGCAGATCGTAGGAACGTAACATAAGAGCACAAGAAAAAAGACCAGGAACCATCTAGTTTGCCTTCCACCCTCATGGTGGTCGCATGCTGATAACATTTTCCCAGTCTGATGACATTCCCTGTACCACCATCCTTCCGGTCAACCAACTGCATATTCAATGTAATACACCTCCACTGATTCCCATTTGTTTTCCTTTCAGTACCGGCCTTTCAAGGGGAACTGTATCAAAGGCCTTACTGAAATCCAGATATACAACATCCAAAGCCTTACCCTTATTACGTTCCCTTGTCACACCATCAAAACAAACCAGATCATGTCCTCCACAAGCCAGATACACTCACAACCGCTTCTCCACACAGCAGCTCGGATTTGCAAGCAAAGTCGCGTGTGATGTCTGCAAAATCGTCAGCTGCGTGCGGGTAACCAATGGTTAATAGAAATAGTTAACATTCGCCAAATAGCTCTTGAGTTCCTGTTTGCATTTATTTGCATTTATTCTCAGTTTCATTTTGCGAATGCAGCTTTAATATTGAGATCTAACAATCTGATTTAACAATCTGACCACTCAACTACAGCTTGCTTATTGTGTATGTAGTTTTATGACATAAACGCAAAGCCAATTCACTTTACAGTGTATCCTGTGAAGCACTTTGAGATGTCTCAAAGACGTAATAATGTGCTGTATGAAAAGCAAGAATTATTATTATTATATACATATTTTAAGTGTAAGTGTTTAACGACCACTCAGTGGTCATTAAACACTTAAGCATAAAACCACAGACAGAATCACCATCAGAACAAAAACAAATGCATCTCATTTTACTCGGTCGCGTAATAGCCACATAGTAATTTGGGTCTCGCCCTGCAGCCTCCAGAAAATAAAGCATTTACACACACACAAACACTGGTTCTGTAGTTAATATGAGAAACATTATCATTTCCATTGAGGTTTTAAACTACTACTCACTTCCTTTTTTGTACAGCCTGAAAGAGACACTAAAGAGGGTGCAATTATTTTTAAAATGTGGTGAGGGTGAGAGATGAGAGGTTGTTTAATTAGCATTTTCCCTCATTCTTCTCAGGGCCAGGGGGCAGATGAACAAGTTATGCCCAAGTCTTTGTCATGGCCGGAAGAGATCGTTTTTGTTTTTACTCGCTGTGGGAAAGTACCTGGTGTCTGCTCTGTATTTCTCCTGCAGCAAAAGACATCAGGAAAGCTAATTTCTTAAAACAAAGAGCGCTGACGGGATTAGCAGTGGAAATGGCTGGATTGACACTGAGCAACAGAAATAAGTTATCAGCATTTGATACAGTTGAGATAAATACCCAAAGATAACCCATTTTGAATCATCTCAGTTAATTCAGTGTTTTGAAGAACAAATCCAAAAACAAGATTTAATCTTTTTTTTGAACGCAGTGTAGCACATTGATATAGTGCAAGTCAATTCAGTCTTTTACTGCCCTCCCTATTACACCCACCTGCAAAATTCAAGCACTAAAATCTAGCTTCTAGATCGTAATCAGAATAATAGTCCTCACGCCTTATCACTCCGTTGAGACATCTTAAAGCGCTGCACAGGATATACTGTAAAGTGGAGTGACTGTGTATTCTGTGGGCGACGCTCGTACTCAATCTTACTCATCGATTGTACTACTCAGGAAAAAAAACATATAGGCCGGGGGTTTTCTTCTGACAGGTGATTCCAGAGATGACTCGAGCCATGACCTGGGCCCCAGGTTCAAGACTGTACAGCCACCTTAGGGACCTTTTTAAGCCGGCAGATCGGTTCAATCCTCAATGAGAAGTGCTGTACATCCTGTATGGTGTAACACTAGCGCAACTCACGCGCACAAGTAAATCTGAGGAAATAATGTTCGAGCTACACAAAGATGGGGAAGCGTCCAGGAGAAGGCCAACTACCCATAAGTATCAAACAATGTTTCATAGGCTCCAACTCTCTCCCGCGACGTACCCCAGCTCACCTCACCCCCCCCCCCCCATCATACATCCCACTCGAAAAAGCCACCCCCCACCCCACCGCTGAGAGGTAATTGCGATCCTGTCGGTGAGCAGAGCGGAGCGATCGAGATGCAGTGAATCAGGCAAATCTTTCGCTGCACCAATCCCCGAGTACATTGCAACGTGAATCGCATCACTTACCAGTAAGGCTCAACGACTAGAGCAGAATATGCAAAGCGTGCGTGGCAGGGCGAAACCTTGGGCAAGTTTCCTTACTCCACACAGAGCCTAATAACAATCCCTCCAAAACCAAAAACAATAATAAATTGGTCATTTTCAATCTACGACTGTTTGTGGGACATTGCTGTGCGCAATCGGCTGCCGCGTTCGCCCACAAATATACAGTCAATTCACTTTACAGTGTGTTCTGTGAAGCGCTTTGGGACGTCCTCCCGACATGAAAAGCGCTATATCAAATGCAAGAATTATCATTATTGTTAATGAATAACCGATCCTTTCACTTTAGGTTAAATCACCTCCGACGGGGTCAGTACTCTAACGCGAAAACGAGGCAGCGAGAACAACCTGCCTCTGATACAGCGCCCTTCAGGTGGGGGGGGGGGAGGAGGGGGAGACACCGGTCAAGCAAATCGTGGCTTGAGAGCCCCATCGAGGGAGGTTTCATGTTCCACAATAGCCGGTGTTTATCCAGAGCCCAAATAGAGGTTCTATACAGGAGGGAGGGGGGGGGGGGGTCGATCGCGGGCACTAACGAGAGGGGCGGGGGGGTTGGGGGGGGGTGTTGGGGGGGGGTGTTGGGGGGGTGGTGTTGGGGGCAGGCGGAGGGACTGTCAGTTGTACCTCAATCTAAAACAAAGCAAGTTCAATACTGCTTTCAATCCAAGCTCAGAACACGACAGCCACAGATGCCATCAGGTACACGGACAGCAACTCGGGGCTTATTGTCGCGCTTTTCACTCCGGATGAACTGAGGATAGATAACCCCAACAGGACACACAGTCACTACGCTTTACGGCAAAACACGCGCTCGCTACGCCTTTACAGCAAAACACGCAGTCGCTACGCTTTACGGCAAAACACGCAGTCACTACGCTTTACGGCAAAACACGCAGTCGCTACGCTTTACGGCAAAACACGCAGTCACTACGCTTTACGGCAAAACTCACAGTCACTACGCTTTACTGCAAAACACGCAGTCACTACGCTTTACGGCAAAACACGCAGTCACTACGCTTTACGGCAAAACACGCAGTCACTACGCTTTACGGCAAAACACGCAGTCGCTACGCTTTACGGCAAAACTCACAGTCACTACACTTTACAGTATTATCCTGAGAAGCGCTTTGAGACGTCTCGAAGATGTAATCGGGGCTCTGAGTCAAACGCCAGGAATGTTATTATTATTAATCTCCCCCCGCGGGGCCTGTCACCCCCCACACCCCCCCCGCGGGGCCTGTCACCCCCCCCCCCCGCGGGGGCCTGTCACACCCCCCCCCCCCCCGCGGGGCCTACCACACCCCTCCCTCCCCCTCACACACATACACCCCAAGCCTCTCCCCTCGGGCCTCTCCCCTCGGGCCTCTCCCCTCCCGCCCACCCACAGGCCTCCTATCCCCCACCACCCCCGAGACCTCTACTACCCCCTGACACACACCCCCACACCCCCACGGGGTCTCGCCCCCCTCCCTCTCCCTCTCTCTCTCCCCTCCTCACCCCCCGGGGGAGTCTGTCACCTGAAGCTCGAGCCGCCGCCGTTACTCCACTCCCAACGGTTGGCGCTAACTGCGCACTGCGCATGCCCAGCTCTCTCCGTCTGTCTGTCTGCTGCGAGCTCTGCGCATGCTCCGCGCTGTCCCCGCCCCCTCCCCCGCGGGCTCTGCGCATGCTCCGCGCTCTCCCCGCCCCCTCCCCCGCGGGCTCTGCGCATGCCCGGGTCTCCCTTCTCCCCCCCACCACCACTCAAGCACTGCGCATGCTCCGCGCTCCCCCCGCCCCACGGGCACTGCGCATGCTCCGCGCTGTCTCCCTCCCTGCCCAGCACTGCGCATGCCCAGCACCCCCACCCTGCCCACGTGTGCCCCTCCGGCTCTGCCACACACTCACCCACACACCAGTGAGCACTGTGTGGTGGGCATCAGTGGGCACTGCTGGGAGCAGCGGGCGGCCGTGCGTGTGTGTGTCCCCCCCCACCCTGCGGCCCCCGGGCTGAGGGCAGGACGGGCCGAGACCGGCTGTATAACCCCCCCCCCACCCCCCCCCCCCCCCCCACCTGGGCACGACGACAACAACGACGACGACGACGACGACAACGACGACGACGACAACGACGACAACGACGACGACAACGACGACAACAACGACGACAACGACGACGACGACAACGACGACGACGGCGACGACGGCGACAACGACGACAACGACGGCGACGACGACGACGATGACGGCGGCAACGACGGCAACGACGACGACAACGACGGCAACGACGACCGACGGCAACGACGACGACAACGACGACGGCAATGACGGCGACGACAACAACGTCGTAGAGTCATAGAATCACACGGCACAGAAGGAGGCCGTTCGGCCGGTCCCGCCTGTGCCCCCCCCCCCCCCCTCCTTCGGAAAGAGCTTCTCCAAATCACTCTCCCCTCCCCACCCCCGCTCTCTCCCCGTCGCCCCCCCCCCCACCCCGCAAACTTGTCCTCCCCCCGCCCCCCACCACCACCCTAATAATTATCTGCTTCTTTCTTAAACGTTGTTATGATAATAATGTATAATATGATTATAATACCGATATCATAATTATACAATAATCATAATAATTGCAATGTAAGAATTATAATAATCCCTTAAAAAAAAGTCCTCCCCAACAACAGCAGCAGCAGCAGCAGCAGCAGCAGCGAGTTGTTGGGATCTCGAATGCATTGCCTGATAGGGTAGTGGAAGCCGATTTGATGATAGTAATAATAATAAATAATCCTTGCGTTCGATACAGCGCCTTATCATCTCGTCGAGACGTCGCAAAGCGCTTCACAGGATACACCCTAAAGTGTAGTGTTTTTGTGGGCGAAACGCGGCAGCCAATTGTGTACAGCAGTGTCCCACAAACAGACGTGGACTGGGCGATCACATTTTTTGGGGCTAATCCTTAAAGCACGATGGGTGATGGATTTCCGCAGCTGTCCATCACCCGGCTGAGCAAAAGCTATCAGCAATAAGAAGAAGTTGCATTTATGTAGCGCCCCTCACGCAGGATAGCGTCCCAGAGCGCTCCTGTGCTGTCCTGATCTCCGTCCCACTCCGATTAGCTCAGAGCAAAATGCGCCGGGATTGCTGCTCCTGAATGCTCTCTTTATCAACAGATATATTGTTCCAATTGAAGTTTTTTTTTTAAAAAAGGAATACTCAGCTTTTAGACGAGTGAAACAGGTGCGGAGTCCGGACAATGTCTGTCTTAACCACAAGAGGGTGAGACAGTCAAGGAAAAGGTTCCGGAGACACAAACCCAAATTGTTGGCTGGAGATCTCACCTCAACGACGATCACATCGCGGGAATATCCCAGCGCCTTCCTCACTGCTGGGCGCAATCGGCTGCCGGGTTTCATCCACGAAACACACAGTCGCTGCACGTTGCAGTGTATCCTGTGAAGGGCTTTGAGACGTCTTAACGACGTGATAAGACGCTGTGTCAAATGCAAGGATTATTATATTATTATAATATCAACAACCACTTTCATTTATACAGCGCCCCCTCACGCACAGCAGTGCCCCCAGAGCGCTTGACAGTGGCGAATGAGGGAGGAGGTGACTGGAGGCACGGTCGAAGAAGAACAACAACAACAACAAGATTCCATTTATAAAGCGCCTTTCACGTCAGGAGGACGTCCCAAGGCGCTGCACAGTTGGGTCATGACCCGAGCATTGGGGGGAAATGGTCAGGGTGAGGGGAGGGGAGGGAGCGAGGAGGGGGAAATGGTCAGGGTGAGGGGAGGGAAGGGAGGGAGCGAGGAGGGGGGAAATGGTCAGGGTGAGGGGAGGGATGGGAGGGAGCGAGAAGGGGGAAGAGAGTCGAGAGGGGAGCTGAAGGCTTCAGGTGCGATCTGAAGATGGGGAAGGAAGAGGCGAGGCGGAGGGCTGGAGGGAGAGAGTTCCAGAGTTAATATTGTAGTTATAATATAGCTCTCACTCTTCTATCAGAGACTGACTGACTGACTGACTGAGCCAGGCTGTCAGTCTTAAATTAGGCAGCTTGATGGGGTGGGGGAGGGCTGTGACCATTCCCCCAGCGATTGGCTTTATCTGACTTTAACAGAACGGTGAAAGTAAGTAACACACAGACGGACGAGGCACAGACTGTGGTTCGTTGGCACATAGATTTATTGGACAAAGCTGCAAGTTTGACAAAAGGTGCTTATTCACACTGCATAGAAACTGCCTTAAAGTACATTACACAATAAATCATCATTTGCACCCGAGAGGCATATATTTAGTTGGTTATATATTTAGTGCGTCTCACGCAGCTGACTATGAAAATATTTAATATCTGCCAAACACACATTAAGACAACTCAATAAAGCTCGGGCTAGTTGAAAAGAGAATTCCCCCTCCCCCCATCCCTTCCTTCGTACTATATCAATTGCAAAGGTCGCTGGTAAATATTCTTCTCAATGTAATTTGCCAACGCACACTCTGGTACCCACACCCAAGCCTTGACTCTTGCCAACCAGCGGCCTATTCCTCTCCAGAACTAGGTAAGCGGGATACGTCCCTCCAGCGAGAAAGAGGGAGACGAGAGAGAGAGGGAGAGAGTGCGTATCCCATTCCAAAACACTGGAATTTTTATGGGATGCACGGAATTCTCAGGTTGGTTCTCTCTCGCCTCTTAAGCACGGCGACGGGTCTCCGCACGTGTCAGACACCAGCCCAGCCGACACCCCCACCCCACCCGCAAAAAAAAAAGTAAACTTGTGAACGTTTTCTAAATCTAAACGACAACCGTTAACAACAACACCACCAACAACAACAACAACTTGTGTTCCTCGGGCAGGACGGCGTTCCACAGCGCTTAATAGTGAGTAAGACGCAGAAAGTAAATAGGTCGACTCGAACAAACTAAAATAGGTCTCACTCCCTTATAAGGCTCTAGTGGCTGTCTCTCTTTACATACCCCACTCTTCCCCCACCCCACCAGCCCCCACCCCCACCCGCCCCCACCCACCCCCACCCCCACCAGCCCCCACCCGCATTATAAAGTGCTCAGTAATATCCAACATCTGTTACATACACATACACCCACCCGCTCCCATTGTAAGGCTCTGTGATACATTTTCCCTTACATAATCCCACTGTAAAGTGCTCAGTTATATATATATATATATATAATATGGGGTGAAAAATGCGTTATATGTGGAGTGGTATTATCGCATCGCACAGTGCTATATGTTTTTTTTTACTCCGATCTCTGTCCCAACTCTCAGTTTAAGTCTCTCAAGTTTACAACACAGTCTCTGGGACATCACCCACCCACCCAACCACCCCAACCCACAACCCCCCACCCCCACTCCCCCCCCATTATAAAGTGCTGTCATAACAACACTCACTTTTATTTACATATAAAAATACTTCTGTTACACCAACTTCATTATAAAGCTCTCAGATGTAGCACTCTCACTATTACACATCCCACCCACATGTCTAATGCTCCGTTACAAAATAAATCTCTGGCATTAACCCACTCCCCAGCACAAAGCTCTGGCTAGTAACACTAACTTTGCCTCTTGTTGGGCAGTTAGACTGGGGGGTGAGGAGGAGGTGGTGGTCTGAGTGGGGGGGGGGAGAATTGTTTCTTTCCCTCCCAACCCCGTCCCAAAAATAAAGCATATTTTTAAAAAAAAACAAGTAACGCCCTTATTATAACAATAATAATAATCCTTGCATTGGATACAGCACCTTATCACGTCTTCGCGACGTCTCAAGGGGCATCACAGGATATATTGTAAGGTGAATTGACTATATTTTGTGGGCGAAACACAGCAGCCAATTGCGCACAGCAGCGGTGGGTTGAGTGACCAAATCAAATTATTATTATTATTTTTCAAAGGGACTATTACCCTCCAGAAACCTATCCACCATAGACAGACATATACTTATACACCACTTATATACTCCAGGGAGCGAGTAGTAAACTTGTGGAACGGACTCCCTTGGGAGACAAGACGGTGGAAGCAGAAAATGTTGTTCGTTTCCACAGCAAAATTAAATAGATTTCTGCTGGAAAATAATATCTGGGGAGACAGACAGCATATAGTTTGGGACACGAAATGTCAAGCGACCCCCAGGATGGTGGAAGGCGAACTAGATGGACCTCGGTCTTCTTTCGCCTTATAGCCAATTCTTACGTTCGTATATGTACAGTGATTCCTGTATTATGGACAAACACAGATGGCAAAGGAGCGGAAATCGTTCCGAGTCGCAAGTACTGCGTATAAGCGTCGTGTACGTAAGTGCACGTTAAGCAGTGAACTGTCACGCGGATGGAGGGAGAGAGGTTAGTGCTCACTCACTCCCAATATCACCAGCCCAGTGAGTGCACAATGCCGTGTCTCACACACTCTCCGAGCTCCAGGTTTGCTCAGTGATTTGGGGGGATTTTCACGTCGGGGTCCACGAGACACCCTCGCCCCCCGGTGTGCCGGACCACCGGCTGGGAGCCACCATCGTCCTCCTCTCCGCCTCACACCGAGGTCTCCTGCTCTGAGCAACGTTCCTCTTTCTTCTTCTTGTTGCATAAGCCATGGAGCCCACAGAAACAGGCAAAGGTGAACTGGGGCATCACCTGCTCGGGGAGAGCAGC